CTTTGTTGTATTAATAGAATTATTAGATATGCTTGTATATAAAGTCAAGTAAATTTGTAAGTAAGCATTTGTACAGTGTGTACTAAAGTTTGTTGAGTTCAGTGAGACGTGGTTTACTGAGAACTAAATTTGCCTCAGAGTACAAATGAAACATAGTATTATAAAAGGTGTGCATGTAGAAGCTCCCTTTTGGATTGAAAATAGGAAACGAGACATATCCTAATGTTCGTTTGATACACTTATTAGATACACCCATATATAATCGTGTAAGCTTAGGGTATTTACAGTGGGGGGAAATAAATATTCGTACACTTGAAAAATTGTATTTATGTCTCAAGAATAACAAAAGGCTTGCTGAAAATATTCTTTTGAGCGTCTAATAAAATAAAATTCAGCTAGTTTGAGAAAACTGTTCATGTGAAAATCAAACTTCGTCATCTATGTGTTGTGTCTCTTCGAAACGTGGGCGATCACAGCTCTCTACAACTTCCTATGCCTTTTAACCCATATTAGCATTCATTCCTTTGCCAATCCTCTTGTTGCACTATTCATTCACACAAACTCAGTGTCCCGCTGCCTTCACTGTCCCTTTTGCATTATGTCCTGTGGGTATCAAATTCTCCAAGCTCTCTTTCCTCATTATGTGTCCTAGAAATTTCAGCTGAGTAATAAGTGTTCTTTATTATCAGTTCTTTAAGACTTCCTCTCTGCTTACTGTTGTGGCGTCCTCCCTCTAATGAGGCTATAGTGGACTCTTCCACTTACTATAAAGTTACTAGAAGAAGTAGGCCTTAGGGGGAACGGTGATAGACTGAACGCTGGTCGACCGATACACATTAACAAGTCGTGTAACACTCTTCTGTTGTATTTACTGTTCAATACATTATTTATCTGCAATCTCTTGTTTTGTTATTCTTCACCATTTACTTGATCACAACACTTACTCGCCCCGTTTATGGAATTCTCAACATCCTTCTGTGGGACTACATTTCTGCTGGCTCCAGTTTTCTCTTCATCTGAGGGGAGATTGTCCAGTATTCACTGCTATACATGTGGATTGATACCACATAACAGTTCCGCACTCCTTTCATTGTTTTCCAAGGAAAGTTTTCTGTTTCTTAATACTCTGCTTAGCTTTTAGCATGCATCTTTCGCTAATCAAATTCCCAATCGGATTTCAGTGTCACATTTTCTGCTAATATCCATTTTCCAGATAAGTAAGTTGATAAAATTAAAAATGTGCTTGTGTTATGGTCCGGTTCCTTGTACCACGGTGATAGTCCAAGGTAGAACCAATAAAGAAGAACTCGAACACGAATATGGAATAACACAGATATATTACAAACAGAAATATATACAGAGAAGTAGAAAGTGTTAGTACGAACAATCAGGTTTAGTAGTAATTGTCTGAACGCGACTCTGTTTCGGTCTGCCTCTGACTCGACTGATTGACTCGCTCTGACTGACTGACTGACAGACTCCTGACAGACTTCTGACGGACCTCACTCCAGACTTCAGGCTGAACGATATTCAGTCACCCTCCCACGAGGGCTTCATGTGGCACAAGGCCTTTTTAACGTGGGATCTCCGAGCCCGTGGGATCTCCGAGCCCGTGGGTGGTAGTTGAACCGGGTTCGGGTTCAGGGTCGGTTTACCTCCCGAAAGAGACTCCGCTCTTCGGCGTAGCCTCGTTCAGGTTCCTCCCCGCCCGAAGGCAGAGAGTTCAAACGATCAGCCGGTCGCCCGACTTCGGGCTGAACTCCCTGCTTCCTCTTGAGGCGCAGTATTTATTACGTATGGAATAGTCCATTATGTTATTATGGGTAAGGTCTCCTAACAGCTTGGTAAAGGGATACATCCAGGGTTGGATTAACCATTAAGCAAAATAAGCACGTGATTAGGGAAGGGGGGCACCACAGAAAATGTTACGATATGACGTTGTTGTTGACGTTTAAAGAAATAAGTCGAACACTATGAACATTCGAAATCTGCCGGGTGCCAATACGAACGGGGAGACAACTGACCCGCTGCAAATCTTTATTGCGCTTCTGATTGGTTAATAAAGGAATGGGCTAAGGGAGATAATGAGGTTTGTATTTACTCAATACATCACATCTCCCCTCTTGAATAAGTTAGTACAGGTTGAGTATCCTTTATCCCAAATTCCAAAATACGAAAACCTCCTAAATCCGAAAGTTTTTCAGGCGCTGACATGACTTCTCACAAATGGAAAATTTCAAAAAAATTCCTCGGTGATGTGCAGCTGTTGTAAATGACACCATCTGGCCTAGGTGGGGGTTTCCCAGCCCAGTTACGTGGCCTATATTGGAGCCACTTTCTTATTAGCGATTGTCACAGCAACACCTTCGTTTGTGGACTACCTGTCGGAGTTAACTCCTCCTTAATTCCCTAATTGTTCACTAGGGGACGCTCTCCCTACACTATAAATACTGGGCGACTTCTTGCCTCGTTCTCTTTTTCACTTTGCATTTCAGCGAACACATTTAAAAATATGATCCTTCGTAGAAATCCGCATTTTCACCCACGTGTGGGAAAACGCCATGAAACACATATACACGTACGTACGAACATTCACCAAAATACAAACTCTTTACGTTCACACACAAACACAAATCTTAATGTCTATGTCAAGTGTAAATTTTGTTGTTTAATACATATATTTGTTGATATATATATATATATATATATATATATATATATATATATATAGTAGCAGTAGAGCCCGGCGTTGCCCGGGGATGTAACAGTAAGAGATAGATCAAATATCGACCATCATAAAGACTGAAAAATAAAATTGACAAAGATTATTGTTTACGGTTGACGGACACGCATGTCTTAATTAGTTTTTTTTTGTTTTTTGTTTTTTACGAATTGGTCAAACCCAAACTCAAACAAAAACATTGTTTTCAATCGTTATGAGTCTACCGATTGAATAGAATTTTATTATAAACAATTGCCCTGTAAATGGAATTTTTAAAGCATTCTGAATGTAAAAATAAAGAAAAAGGTGTGCAGGACAATAAGAAACACTACCTGCCAAAAAAAAAAGTGAAGTTTTGTTGAAATCGGTTGAAAAATGTAGGAAATCCGATCCCATATATAAATGAACACACACACACAAACGACCTGGGTTTTATAATAAGTATAACTCGATATGAGTTGTCCCCCTTTCATTCTCGCGATGCCTCTTAATCGTGTTTTCAAACTGATTTTGTGCAAAAACAATTGTGTTTTTCCAATTTTTGGCGCTGTCAGAACCACCGCAAGGTAATTTTACGTAGTCCTGTGAAGTTTTGTTGAAATCAGTTGAAAAATGTAGGAAATCCGATCCAATATATAAACGTACACACACACACACACACACAACCTGGGTTTTATAATAAGTAAGATTAGGAATGATAGCGCAGTAGTGTCTTTCTGCCCTCGCCACAGTTTGGAATTAAGAGTTTTTCTTCTCTTATACTGGATGTCACTTAAGGCAAGAGAAGCCAGTCTACCCTGCTACTTAACCCATTGCTGAGGACAAGAGGCAGAAATTGATTCAGGACTTCCTCAATGGCATTTATTCAAAAAGTTAATGCAACAGACTAGCCTGGAATTTGAACTCGGCTCACTGTCTCCACTTTTCAAAATGATACCTGTTACACTACCCACACACCAATAATAATACCTACTTATTCTTACCTGAGAAGTGCTAAATCCTGTGTCATACATGTGTAGTTATTTACTTAGCTTAGATTAGTCTGGCACAAGGCTACAAAGATGGGGCTCACAACTCAGTCAGAATAGATCTATGAGACAAGCTTGTCAATCCATTTTAGGGATTTACTAAGCAAAGCTTAAATGTGGTACCCAGCTGCAAGGATGGGGCACCCAGTGAGGATTGAACTCACTACTTAACTAGGCAACGTTTCTAAACATTAGACAACATTGCAGTACCTTAAAAAAAACCTGTGCGTTTACTTAGATTTGGCACCAGGCTGTAATATGGAGTAACCAGTGAGGATTGATCTCACTATTATTCAGTAATAATGATCTGTAAGACCAGGTATTTATGTGCCATATGTGATACATGCTTAGGCGATCATGTATCTCTCAATACATGACTGACGAAGCAGATCTTTTTCTGCTGTAGGTTGCCATTTCTTTCTGTGGTAGACCAGTTGCCATCCAAGGCTATAGAACCTGGCTGTTCTGCTATTTCCCCATAGCTGGTGGGAGAAGAGGAGGATTCATACGAGGCACAGTGGAATAATGGATAGCGGTTCGGATTGAGGAATCAGAGAGCCGAGTTTGAATTCCAATCAAATCCATTATATTCACTTATATGCTAATATCCTTGGGAAAGGTATGAATCCTCTTCTTCTTCCCTCAGCTATGGGTAAATAGCAGGACAAAACAGGTTCTATAGCCTTGGATGGCAACTGGTCTACCGCAGAAAGAAATGGCAACCTGTTGCAGGAAAAAATCTACCTCGTCAGTCATGTATCGAAAGATACATGATCGCCTAAACATATATCACGCATGGCACATAACTGAATACCAGTTAAATCCATTTTTATCTCAACATTTTATCCCAGCTAGCTTGAGAACATTACAAGACTTGTAAGGCTCTAAAGCCAGAAGTTGATAAAAAAATAACTGGAAGTTCCTTGAAATCGTTTCTTTCGATTCCTACACCTCCTACAAAAAAAACAAAAAACATTTTTGATTTTTTTTTGTGTGGCCTGCAGTAGAAAATTATAAAAAGATTACCAAACGATAGCTTGCAAAACCGCACCTTAGACCACTTAACAAAATGAAAGCAATGTGCGCATGTGCAGAGAATATCATTTTTCTTGTTAAAACTTCAAGAAGGCAAGATCTAGGAAGTTTTGTTTGTCGGAATATTTTCTTTAAAATACAAGAGTAAAACCACGCAAAAACAAAAAAAGGAACAGAATATCTGCTTTTAATTGAGAAATACAAAAGGAAGACTGATGTCGTCATTTGGGTAATTTTTTTTAATTTTCTAGATTGATTTTAAATACTGAATTATTTTGTTTTTGTTTACTACTCACAACTCACTACTCAGTTACTGACTGGCGTGATTTTTTTTTTTTTTTTAAGGATGAGATCCGAAAAGAAATTAAAATGAACATCTTCCTTTTCAAATAGGATTTTTTTAGTCTTTTTTGTCTTTAATCTTTGTAAGGTTGTGATGGATAAGAGTGGAAAATTGACCTAAAAAAATAAAATTCCCGCCGTGTGGCAAAAAACTGAAAAATAAACAGAAACTTAATTCCGAAGAAGAAGGAAGAAAAAAAAAAAAAAAAAAAGGACAATTTTTAAGTTTAAACTTTTTAGTTTTTAAGTACGATTTCAAAGACTAAAACTAAAAGAGAAAGATCCTAATAATAATACAACTAATAATTATTGTCTATTTCATAAGAAAAAGACACCAACTAAAATAGACTGGTCCACTCCTAAAAAATAGGGAAAAATCTTTTGGAAAATAATTTTGTAGTTTAGCATTCTGTATTCCTTGGGCGCGACACTATCGAAAAATAAATTTTTAAATCATTTTAGAGAAGGTGGGTGCGATTCATGAATTTTAAAAAATTTGCTAAAAATCCCAGAATCCCAAAAATAAAATAATGCTTTGCAAGTATTTTATTTTTAAAATCAGATATTTTGGTTTCAAATGATTTTTTTTTTTTTTCGTATTAAAAAAAAAAAATAAAACCTTAAGTACACAAGAGCAGGAAAAGTCCGTTTTCACGAAAAGAAAAAAACTAAAAATAAATTTATTTTTTTTGTCTCCTGTTGCAAATAAAAGTTGGCATTTAAAAAAATTTTGATAATATTTTTTAATTTAAAAAAAAAAACTATGGACAAAAAGTGCTAATCTTTAAAACACTGACTTAAAAATAGTTATTATTTTCTAAGTTTGAATTTAACTTAATCAAATTTAAATACAGTGTAACCCGGATATAAGAGAGATTTTCTCTGGTCCCAAATTAGAGCCATACTTACCTAAACAAAATAGACCAAACCCAGATATAAGAGAAACCCGGATATAAGAGACTTCTTCTCCGGTCCCGACAACTCACTTATATCCGGGTAACACTGTACATATCGACCACGAAGAGCGCTCCGAAATTAGTGCTTCTTAATTTCTATGTAAACATTTTTTAACAGATACAAAAAAAGAAGCATAATAATAACACCGCTACAAATCACGATTTTTCCCTTTAGTATATATAAGCTAGATACTCTAGTCTAGTTCATTTCGTCGGTGAGTGAAGAAAAAGTAAACAAAAATCTCAATACCGTCTGACTGAGCTCATATCCAATGTTTGGTCTCCATAAGCGTTCAACAAGCGTAGGTGAAGGTTAATGCGTTCAATTTTTTTTTCTATATGGAAGAATTCAGTGACAGCTCTGCTTTGTACACACTTTCATGCCAGACATTATTTTACCAGATTGCTATGATCTGCAAACATAGCAAAAAAGAATGTTGGAACGGTTCAACACAAGAGTCTCTACTCACTACTGCGATACCACTAAATAACAATTGCCTCTGACGCCGTGACTAACAGAAAATAAACATTACTCCTGTCCTTTCAAACAGACCATTGTATCTAAAAGCAAAATTGAATTGAAACCTTCAACCATTTTATTTTTACTGGTAATTGTTTAAATCTTTTTACTCATTTAAGAAAACACATTGTGGCCTGCTCCGTTTGGTCACTTCGACGTGGTGTGATGAATGAGCAAGCTTATCTCGCCAGATCAATTTACAACTGATTAGCGAGTTCAATCCTCACTGAGTGCCTCATAACTTCGAACTTGTACCACATAAAACCTTGTGACTTGCTTTGTTAGTTTGAGGGGCGGATTTTTTTTTTGTTTTTGTTTTCTTTTGTGCGGCGAAATCGTCGCATTTTTGTTCATCACAGTATTTGACATTAAAACTTAGATTCACTGTATTACGACACGAGGACACAACGATGACTCGTCCGGTAAGGATCGAACTCGCCACACCACACCAAACGTTTTTTTTTTTTTTTTTTGCATTTGAAACGATTTTTAAGAGTAAAAAAAAAAAAGGTCTAGGTACTTCAGACAAAATCCGAAAAATGCGTTTTAAATAATTTGAATGTCTTCTTTAAAGTAAAATTTTGCTTAATACAGAAATAATTAAGAGTAGACTAAAAGAAAAATATTTTTTGTCCTCTGTGACAATGGCCTAATAGTGGTAAAAAGCCTTGGTTCGTGAACTTGGTGACATAATGATTGTAAGTTCAATCCTTGAATCGGGCAGTATGTACTTGGAAATAAAGGGTTCAGTTCAGAATTCCCAGTAGGTAGATCGATATACACCTGATGAAGACCGGAGTGCACAACAGTCGAAACGTTGTGATAAACAACAAAGAAGCACAATAATCAGAATAATGTACCATGAATTAAAAATAAAATATTGTGAATGGATTTTAGTTTTACTTTTATTATCTTCGTTTCAAAAGCAAAAAATGTCTGGTACACGGCCCGGGTTAACGTGAGGTTCCTCGATATGATATCAAGGTCAAGTTATTCAGTATTATTCGCGTCAGGAATTTAAGTGTTTTTTTTTTTTTTTTTTTTTTTTTTTTATGAAAAAAATGAAATATTCTTGGACCTTGATGGCGGGAGAATTAAGAAAAAAAAATAGAATAAAGGGAGATAAATCCGTATTACTGTTAGTGTTATGTAATACAATCATCGACGATATCCGCTTGTTAAGTAGGTATTTACCCACTACCCAACGCAGCAAGATGTGGCACAAGGCCAAGTTTTATCGTGAGTTATCCGAGCCCGTAGGCTCGGACAAAAATTCCCTGTAGACCTCGTAAAAACGGAGTCAGTTTCCCCGAGATGAGATTCTGCCCTTCGACATAGCCACGTCTGGGGGATACCCTCTGAAAATCATAAACATTACTTCACAACAAAAAAATATGGTTAGTTTCCCCTGCCACGAGGAGATCGTAATGAGACACCATCCTCACGTGAGGATTGAACTCATTTACATTAGTTAAATAATTGCCTTGCTAAGCATATCACTGTACTCAAAGGGAAGGGACCCGACCAGGTCACAGTGTGAGGGCCGTCCCACAATAATTGTGTCATACTCTAGCTAAAAAAATGTTAATAACATTTTCAACACGCCTCTTGTTGAGAAATATTTATTTTTTGTTTTTAAGTTAACATTTTTGTTGCCCTCCCCCCACACAAAATGAAAGCAAAAAACCTGAAACCTCCTGTGTTTACAAATTTACCAAAAATCATGGATTTATCCGTTTTAAGTGGAATTTTCAGTGCTTTTATATTCATGATTATTAAATTAATAAATAAATGAAATCTATAAATTTGCTGGATGGGCTCTTAGAAAACTTTGTTTATTTTTGTTATTTCCCTCAATCACCTCTTTTACATTTCAATAAAACGCATGAACTTGAGGATGATGACAACTTTTTTTTGCAGTTAAGTTTTATAAAGAAAAATCCTTGAAAATATTTAAGTAAAAACATGTTTTTTTGTTTTTTTGTTTTTTTTTACAATATCAACTGAACATCTTGAAAATTTGTCCTGGCACCTAATTAAATAAAAAAAAAAAAGTAAAAAAAAAAAAACTCAAAAATATTTTTTGTAGAGAGTTGATGCTTGTAAATACATTCATTATTTTATTTCAGATTTTACAGGGGGAAAATTTACAATTAATATTTTTTTTTAAGTTTTACTTGTAATTTAAAATTTTTGGGGATGCAAATGACAAACAAAATAGATCTTTTTTTATGTGTTTGAAAAATGTAAAGTTTAATGGCATTTTCAAGTGAAATATTTTATTTTTAAAGAATTTAATTTTTTCTTGTTATAACCGTTAAATTATTTTTCGTACGGAAGATCAAATAGGAAATAATTCAACAATTCAGAATTATCTTCCTAGGTTAAAAATAATTGTGCATGATGTGTGGAAGTGTCTAGAATTTATTTTATGACATTGATAAATGAAAGAAAGCAAAGTAAAAAGGCAATCGATTAACAATATCAATGGGGGGATAAATTTTCTGAAAATAATTAAAATGCATGATGTGGTGCAATTAAAATTTTTTGACATAAAATAGATAAAACAAAAAATAAACAACAAATACTTTTTATTGCTTCTTTATTCTTTTTCCTCACATGGGTCTGTCTCTCATTTTGGGCAGATGACACCTACTTCAAATAGGAGGGATGAATAGCTGAAAACTCTTTTCCACTTTGTCTTATTAATATGTTAATAAGTGTACATGCAGTAATATAAAATTTAAAATATTAAGTAAAAATAAAAGCAATCATATGTAAGTTCCAGCCATACCACATTGAAATGCATGCATATTTACATGTCACGGTTAAACAGATACATGATATGGCATACTGTCACATCACATTGAAACACCAGTTCTCTGCCAATCACTAAAGTTAAGCAACATTGAACCTGGTCAAGATCTCGATGGGTGACTGCTTGGGAATACCAGGTGCTGTAGGCTTGGATGTGTGGATAGTGCAGTGATTAATGCCACGGAATGAAAAATTGGAAAGCAAAGTTTGAATTCCGGTCTGGTTCATTGCAATCACTTGAGTGATCATGAATCGAAAAGAGATTTAATTGCCTAGGTGTGTCACCTTCACCCCCTACCAATGCTCATTGGGCCAGGCAGAATAAGGGCCCAATGCTCCCCATGAACAGTATCTGAGGAAGGCCTATGTCCAACAAAGGACCCTCTTGGACTGAGAACATAAAAGTTAGGACTGATTTGTTTGGTAATCTTCTTGCCCTGACATCACAGAAACAGCTAGTATTGAACTGATTTGCAATGCCATGAGAGAAAGCAAAAGCAGAAAAAATTCACAGCCTGACACCCCCCCCTTCAACTTTCTTAAAATCTGTCCATATAAACAAACATCAGAATTTCTTTTTATTTCATTTTTGGTCAGGTCATGAATTTATCAATCTCTTGAGAAAGCAAAATGATTGGCAATGAATTTATCTCTTGATTTTTCATATTTACTATGATCTTGTCTTTATTATCATTTGAGTAAGTCAAAGTGTGGACCTATTTATTTGTGTTGTTTTAAAAGCTTAAAATAAAAAAAATTTCTTGCAGGATCATCCTTGTCCTTCCTTATTCTCAAATCTCCTTTTTCCTCTCTTGCATCCTTTCTTGTATCCCCTTTTATTTTTTTCTATCTGACTAGCATGTTGCTTCATCAAGTTCACCGAAATGAACAAAATCACCAACTCCTATTTTCAGTTGAGTTTTTTATAGTTTTTCTTCATTCCCATAATTCATCTTTTTCCCTGGTTTGCCATAGTCAGTCAGTTACGTGCCATCCATGATACACGCTTAGGTGATCATGTATCTTTCTATACATGACTGACGAGGCAGATTTGTTCCCACAGTAGGCTGCCATTACTTTCTGCAGTAGACCAGTTGCCATCCAAGGCTATAGAACCCGGTCTGTCCTGCTATTTACCCATAGCTGGAGGAAGAAGAAGAGGATTAATACCCTTTCCCAAGGGTATTAGCACATAAGTGAATGTAATGGATTCGACTGGAATTTAAACTCAGCTCTCCAATTCCACAATCTGAGCCACTATCCATTACTCCACCATACCATAATAGCTTTCTATAAATGATATCACCTGTCACTGCTTCTTTTTCTCCCTGACCATGAGGTAAGCGACAATCCATTTTTTCTTCTTGTTTCATTCAAACTACAATTTGACAAATACAATAACATTATTTACCTTTTTATATTTTCATTTTTCAAATGTTCACCCAATACAAGGCCCAAGGGCTACTCAATCTAGAGAGCAACTGGGTGGAGTTGTATTATCGTAACAAACATAACAGGAAAGATAGATGGCTAATTCTAGACTTGAAGAGGTCAAGACTTAATTAGTGAATAAAATTTCAGAGTTCAGACATAGGAGTATAGAGTTGACGTAGACTTTAGAAGGAACCAAAAACCCAATCCTAAACAAGAAACAAGGGATGAACCTCTACTTTTGGTCAAGAGACTGGGGAGAAGTGTGAACCAGGCGACCAAGAGCAACAGCCACCAAAGCTTCATGGAAAAGGCTTTTATTAGTTGATTGATTCATATTTTTTTTTATGGTTTATCAACCCTTTGCAGGAGCTGGAGGAAGAAAAGGTGGATTCACGCTATTCCCAAGGGTAGTTTCAAATAAGTGAATCTATCTAACCCAATGTGAATTGGAACTTGGCTCTCCAATTAACAATTCCAAGACATTATCCATTACACCAGCTGCACATCCAAGCTTACAGCACCTGGTATTCACAAGCAGTCACCCATCAGGCTCAACATTGCTTAACTTTGGTGATTGTACAGAAATTGGTGTTTCAACATGTGGTGGCTATAACCTTCATGGAGAGGTAACAATGGCTCCTTTGTGCTTTTCTCAGCATGCCTTTGTCATTAATACTTTGATTACATTTTCTAGAAGAAATAAAACAAGATCTTGCATACTAAATATACGGTGAAAAGATGTTGGTATTTTTGCTGATATTTTAAATATAATTTTAGTTTTGTCACTATGGTTTTTATCATTATATTAAATCAATTTTTGTTTACTGAAACATTATAAACTGAAATTGTGGCCTATATAACCAGTTTTAAAATAATTAGACTCATAGAATAATAGGTGACATATTTACATTATGAAATGACCAGCAGCACAGTTATTTAGTAAAATAATTACTAGTGATGGGACGATACCAATATTTTTACTGATTCCAATATAATTCTTATTACTATTCTAAATTTCCAATTCTGATATGATTCCCAATTCTGATATCCACAATGATTAAAATTCATTATTTTCAGGCCCTACAGTTGGTTTTGAAAACTTAATTAACAAAGTACATTTATTAATAAAACTTTTAGTAGAAAAATTAATTCAAAAGCTTATGAAATAAAGTTAGATATCCTTTTTATTTAAAACTTGCATCTCATTTGGCTCCAAGGATGGATAAATGAGAAAAAAATTCAAAATATTTTAAATGCCATAATAATTTAACACAAGAAAGTTCAATTATGCCAAAGAAAAATATTAGTAAAATAAAATTAAATACAATTTTTAATGGAAATTAAATTTTAGGGTTTTTAATACAAAATTTTGTGTGAAAAAGCTTTTTTTCAGGAAATTACAAATAATTTTTTTTTTAAAGTAAATAAAGATGAAAATCTTTTCTGAAAGCTATAAAATTTTAAGAAATACATGAATTCTGTAGAAACAAATTTAAGTTTCATAAAAAGAATGTTTACTTGGTTATTGAAAAGAATTATTTTTGTTTACGTAGTATGCTACCTAAACAAAATTAAATCTTTTCAATAACCAAGATTAAAAAATGATTTTATGGATTAAAACTATTATAAAAACAAAGTGTTGTAATTTAACTGCCTCGCCATGGAGACAATTTGGAACACAAGGTCAATTTTTTATGTGAAGAAATCAAATGTCATTGGTAGGAATTCCAAACATTCAATTTTTTCTTCTTTTTTATAAATTAAAAAACAATAATAAAAATTGTCTTAAGAAAGAGTCCAGCAGAAGAACAGCATGAATTCATTTTGTCTTTGTTACATAATTGTAATTATTAGATTAATAATTTGTAATATTAAATGGTTGAACTCACCATGTTTAAAAAGAAAATAAAATTTTATTTTGAACTGAAACAGACTTTAAACTAGCAAACTTTAGGAAAAGTTCAAGAACTGAATAGAAACTTGCACATTTTTTTTTTTTTTTTTTACACAAGTAAAATAATTTTACATCATACTTAAGTGTGATTTTGATCTATAGATTTTAGTTTTACTGATAGTTTAAAATAATTAAATATTTATATCTTTTTATTATTCATATCAGGAAAGGAAAATTAAATTTTAAAAAAAACAAAAAATCAAAAGAATTGTTTTTGGAATCTGAAATTAGGTTAAAACTTCTCCAATTCCAATACCCCAAAAGGTTGGAATATTTCCGATTCCAATCATCCCATCACTAATTAACTTGCATTATCAATGAATTTTTTCTTATAGTCTTTATACTTAGACATGCTATCATTAGAATGAATCACTCTTGATGTATTTGTTTAATAAATCCTTTCTCTGGCCGTAATTATTCATGTAAAACATGTACTATTCTTTTTCCAAATCTTTAAACCCAGACACTAGATATTTGTATTATACGCAAGGACTAAATATTAACATTTTTTTTCTGTCCACATGTATTGTTATATTTGGGATGTTATGACAGAAAGTAATATCTAGAGTCAAAGCTAATTAATATGTAACAATGAGCTCAAAACATTAATCAAACACTGCATTCATTAAAATGAAAAATTATTCCCATCTATATTAAGTGCATTTTTAGTCTGCTTCACTATAGTCTGTGGTTAGTGTCATGACAATTTCATTGATGTAGTCAACTTACTAGAGATCTTTGTCATCTTCATTATTATTGTCCACTGTCATACTGTCTTTCTTCATTGAAACAGTTGTCAATTTCATTGCTGTCTAATATGTCATGGTAATTTTTTTTTTTTAATGACAGAAAAATAGCCATTGGAATATGTACATGTTTGTAATTTTGTTTCTTTGTGTGAGTTCTTTTTTTTTTTTTTTTTTTTTATTGCAATGAAATTGTTATATTTTTGAGTGAACATGCCTGTCATTTTGCTCTAAATACTGTGTAAATTATTTTAATCCAAGCAGGTAGGTTCTTGGGGGCAAGAATCCTACTCCATGCAGTCAGTTAATTGAAATGGAGCCCAATCGATACAGTCTCTTGACAATAGGAGAGAAAGAACTTTTGCAAACAACAATGGTTGCCTTATAATGCAATAATTCAAGCCAACCAATCACATTGCAAGTGGCCTGTTTGCATAACTTTATATTGCAACCAATTAAATCCATCACAAACACCAATTTTACATCACAAATTTGATTCAGAATATAATGTAAACGATATATTAGTCTTATTTTAGGTATGAATCTGATAAGATGCTGAACAAATTTTTAAAATCTTTGCATGTATTATGCGTAAGATTTTTGCCTCAACCCCATAATTTTATTGTCCAAAGTTTGGAGTATGTATTATACACAAATAATTAATAGAAATAAGTCGCATAAACAAATAGTATTGAAATAATTTGCAGTGTATTGATATACTAAAGTTTCCGTACATTTTCCCCTGGTGAAATCACTTTCGGTACATTTATATAGTAGATTAATTACCATTTTCTGAGATCCAATGATTTTTAATAAATTTCTATATATACAAAAGTATCTATAGTATTTTCTGTGACACTCTAGATGTAATCACTAATATGACTTTGGTGTACTTTTGATCCTATTTATGATATCGTAATAAATATATAACCCATTCAATAAACAGCTTATTCATATGACATCTGTTTCTATGCTTTCAGATACAAGAAACTTGACGGTAATACTGGTTATGGTTCCATTCCTCCACCTAGCACGACCTCGGATCAGGGAGCATACCCTACAGATCCACCTGCAGCTCCTGCACCAGGAATGTACCAGGGAGGATCACCCCCAGAAGTCAGTATAGTCCCATCTTCTTCCTCCATTGTAAATGCACCATATTGTAAGTATTTGAATTTTTATTTTTCTGTATATTTGAGACTAGCAGTAGAGCCCGTCGTTGCCCAGGGATGTAATAATAAGAGATAGATCAAGTATCGACCATCATAAAGACTGAAAAATAAAATTGACAAAGATTATTGTTTAAGGTTGACGGACGCGCATGTCTTAATTAGTTTTTTTTTTTTTTTTATGAATTGGTCAAATCCAAACTCAAACAAAAGCATTGTTTTCAATCGTTATGAGTCTACTGATTGAATAGAATTTTATTATAAACAATTGCCTTGTAAATGGAATTTTTAAAGCATTCTGAATGTAAAAATAAAGAAAAAAGTGTGCAAGACAATACGAAACACTACCTGCCAAAAGAAAGTGAAGTTTTGTTGAAATCGGTTGAAAAATGTAGGAAATCCGATCCCATATATAAACGAACACACACAAACAACCTGGGTTTTATAATAAGTATAACTCGATATGAGTTGTCCCCCTTTCATTCTCACGACAGAATCATGTTTTATCGTGTTTTCAAATTGATTTCGTGCAAAAACAAATGTGCTTTTCCAATTTTGGGCGCTGTCAGAACCACTGCAAGGTAATTTTACTCAGTCCTGTGAAGTTTTGCTGAAATCGGTTGGAAAATGTAGGAAATCTGATCCAATATATAAATGTACACACACACACACACACAATCTGCGTTTTATAATAAGTAAGATGTAAAGAATCATTAGGTCATTACATAAGTAATGTTTTTATTAAGGGTCACCAAAGAAATAATTAAATTCATGTTTAATTTGAAAATATTCATTAGCATATGGGTCACAATTCTTGATAATAACTTTACTATGAATTGCATTATGTTCTAAATTGGGTTTAAAATTTTTACCATTGTTAAAATATAAAAAGTTAAAAACAAAAAAAAAATTCATGTTTTGAGAACATCAAGATGGTTCTATAAATTTAGGAATAGGTGTTAATAGGACAAATTAAGATCTGGAAAAAAATATAATTTACACATTTAAAACTACAGACACTTATCTAGTAATATATTATCATGATTTAGGCATTTTAGTACAGGAAAAAGGTCATTTAGTTCATTACTATCAGATTTTGGACATTACTTTTAGAATGACTTGATACCAATGAAAAAGTTTATATTTTCACATATTTATTCATTAACATTCATCACATCATTCTCAATAATATCTTTACAATGAATCACAGATTTCATAATGCCAATGTTTTTATAAATATATTTTGGTTTAGCAAAAAAGAATAATGGTTTTCACCTCTTCATGCATTTTAAGAACAGATCCATCAAGATGATGCTATAAAATTTGAAATAAGTGGTAGTCACTATAGTAACAGAGCCACATCTTGCCCAACATCTACCCCATTCCTTACCCATTCAAAAAACTTTTTTTTTTTTGGTGGGGGATTAGTTTTAATACAGGCATCAAATATGTAAAGATAATTATTATTTTAAAAATTTTGTTTAAAATTCTGGGCAATGTTAAAAAAATAATAGGTTGTAATTTGGTTTATATAAAGATGATAGAGAAACATTAACTCCAAAATGAATTAAATAAAGGGTTCAATTCAAAATTTCCTGAAAGTTGTCTCATTCAACAAGCACCTGAAGAAGTCCGGAAGGCACAGTGGCTGAAACGTTGTGAGTCCTAATGTAAATAATGACAATGCTTCATGCCAGATTGATGTTACATGACGGTTCTGTACACTTTTCTTTATTTCTAACAATATATTTTTCTGTTTCTGAATATTTTGCTTAGCTTCTGGAATCTATCTTTCACTATTCCAATTTTGCTTGTCCTGGGTATGACAATAAACTACACCTGACATTTTGAGGATCTTGGAACCTGACCTGGTGTGATAGCACCTTTAAGGGTCTCAGCTATGGGCAAATAGTGGGCAACCCCCACAAACAAAAATCAACAGTACATTTTTATAATAAAATTACCAAAAATACATTTTATTGTCTATAAAATATATTCTCTGAAAGTATAAAATGATGTAGAAATATCTGTAGTTGACGCCAAAAAATTGTGTTCAAAATATTTAGATTTCGGCATTAAATAACCATAGAGGTAGATATGCCGCTAAACAAAATCAACCAACCAACAATACATATTTATAGTAAAATGACCAACAATGCATTTTATCTATAGTTGAAGGCATACAATTGCATTCAAAATATATTTAGTTGAAACCATAAAATTGTGTTGAAAATATTTAGATTTCGGCATTAAATAACCCATAGAGGTGTTGATATGCCGCTAAACAAAATCAACCAACCAACAATACATATTTATAGTAAAATGACCAACAATACATTTTATCTGTAGTTGAAGACATACAATTGCGTTCAAAATATATTTAGTTGAAACCATAAAATTGTGTTGAAAATATTTAGATTTCGGCATTAAATAACCCATAGAGGTGTTGATATGCTGCTAAACAAAATCAACCGATCTTAATGCATCAATGTAGATTTCAGTATTGCACTTTCCATCATCTGTTAAAACGTTTCCCAGATATTTCAATTGTATTTTTCTGATTTTAGTATTTGCATATTGCTGTTCCTTTTGCTAATAACCACGTATTCTATCTTCTTGGAATTGATGCTTAGTCCTTTCTTCCTGCTTTCCTTCACTGTCTTTTGTCAGAGTTCTTGGAGTTTCCTTTCTAAGTCTAATATCAACACTGTCATCTGCATATCTTATGTTGTTAAGATTGTGGCTGCCAATAATGAATCTTGGTAGGGCTTCTAATTCTGTCAAAATTGCCTCACTGTATAAGTTGGAAAGGTCTGGTGAGAAGACTCATCCTTGTCTTACACTACTTTTTATTTTTCATATTTACTGAAATTATAACTGTCATAATAAAATCAAAAGCCATGTTTTTGGATTAAATTAAAACTGAACACTCCTAATGCCATCTAACATCAAAAATAGAATTATTTGCAATACTCGATATCAATGTTTTTATTTGCATATTTTCTTATTTATTTATTTGTTTGTTTATGTATGATCAAATTTCAGCTGCTGGAGTTGCTGCTACCGGATATAATGTCCCACCAGAAGGAGGCATGGCTGTCCCTTCTGCACCACCACCTATGATGGAACCGCTTGCTGGCTATGAGGGTGTCGGCTTTACCGTCAGTGGTAAATTTCTTCTTTTTTTTATCTGCAATTGTCAGAATGTATTTTATTGTAAATATATGTGTGATAGCTTGCTAAGCAACTAGCTATTTACATGAACAATGATATCATAGGTAGGATTTATTAAACTATTGCACCAAAACTTAATCTGATTAATACTACTAAGCAGATATAGAAAGTATGCAGATGCCCAAATTTCCAAGATTATTATGAACTTTATATTATAAAGAAGTGCTGAATTTTTATTTATTAATCCGACAGATTTTATTACTTAAACATTATTTTTAGTTAACATTTCTGAGTAGATGCTCTATTTCTTTATTTATATTTATTTTAGGCTTAAACATTGCTGTTAAATATTAAATATTGCTATTAAATATTAAATATTGCTATTAAATATTAAATATTGCTGTTAAATATTAAATATTGCTATTAAATTGCTTTGTTTATGTTAGGATACAAAACTTTGCAGATATGAATGTTTTGAAAGTCTGAGAAAGATTTGCCTTTTATAAGGCACAATTCAACTTTTCTTAATCATAAATGCACTTTGTGGCCAAGACAGTCTAAAGTACATCAGATCTAATGGCAATTTCTCCTGCTAAGCAGGACTCGGGTTCAAATCCCACCAGAGGGTGTATAATTTTCTTTAAGATTTCTCAAATATTCAGGCTGGTAGATGAAAATAAATAAATACTGTTGAAGATCAGATTGAACCAAATAATGTTCTGCTTTCTATTCTTAGATTTACTATTGGTATTCACACTAGTGTTAGGAATGTACTTTAGTTCAACATTATGCTTACTTCTATTTAACGCATCAACATATTTGGTTTTGTATTTGTCAAAGATGGAAATACTGCTGGATTTAGTGGAAAGCCTATGTTGTACAGATTTGTGGAGGTTATTAAGGATACACGTCTGGTGGTTAGATTCTTTACTAATATATATATATGTGTGTGTGTATGTATATATATATATATATATATATATATATATATATATATGATTATAAAGTTCCTTATTATAAGGCATGTACACTCCTCTGGATAGATCAAACATAGTATCTAGGATCACCTTGGAATTGGTGACAGTGGTGATGTTAAGTCCGTGATCCTTAAAGAATTTGATTAGCTGTTTCCTAAGCCAGTCGGTTTTTTGTGGCTTGGAATTATGTAGAAAGATCACTCCATCGTCCCTATATAATCTGGTGTTCTCACTATCAAAAATATATCTGAGCCTCTATAGAAGTAGAATGCTGACTTGCTCACAAACTTCTACAGAGTTGAATGCGCCCATCACTATAGAGAAGTTGGGATTGTCTTTTTTGGTCCACAAAGAACCATTGTGGTATAGGATGGGCTTTTGGGCTTGTATGATTATGCTGACATCCTTGTCCATGATGGTGCAATAATTCTTAGCCAGGTTTATAGCAGCCATTAGTAGGTCTTCAGTGATTGATGGGTAAAAGTTGGTTATGTCAAATTGCATAAAAGTACACTCCCTTTTATTTTTAGTATAGTGAACTAATTTATAGCGTCTTTGGTATTTCTCCACTGGTTGACCCCTGTTGCATTCCTGGTGTAATTACAGGCTTGTTCAAGTATAGCTTTGCTAATCTTGCCTATATTATTCTTAGAGAAGTTAAGCAATCAAAACTGTGGGTTGTTGGGGAAATTGCACTTATGGTTCTTAACTGTAATAAAAGCCTGTTGCTTGTGGAGTTTGTGTACCCTGTCATCGATCTTAAGTTGCATGACTTTTGCCTCGCTGTTGATATCATTTTTCCATTCATTTGGGACATTCTTATATACTTTGTTAACTTCCTTACAAATAGCTTTGTGGTAGTCAACCACATTATAGAAATATAGGTTGCCAGTTTTATCGGATTTGATGATTATTCTGTCGGTGTTACATATCTTGGCAATGTCTTTTTTCTTATTCTTCTGTAGGCTGTTGTGTTTGGTAACATATTTAATATTATCAATTACAGAGAATAAGTCCTTTTCGAATTCAAGGAGGAGATCATCGCTAGGCGGTGTTTTTCAAGGACTTAAATCCAAAGGAGTTAGTAGTTTCACCTTCATCTTCTCTTTTGGCAAAAAATAGATTCCATCGCATTCTACCCACAACACTTGATTTTATGCAAATAAGCTGAGCTCACATTGGTTCTTTTTAGGGACTATTATGGTTTTAGTGGAGTTGTCCTGGATAAAAGGTTCCATTATGCAATAACATATGTGGTAAAGTATACAGATAGTATACACCAAAAAAGTGCTCAATGTGAAGGAGCAATTTAAATGTATATCGTTAGATAAATCAAACGACCAGATATAAGCAACCATACACTCATGTGTATGCATGTACATTCGCAGTCAAGCAAATAATCATTAAATTTATTCATGAGGTGCAAACATAACAGATGTGGTTAGATAAAGCAAAGATATATATTAATATATATACATGTACCTATGTTTTGGTGTGTGACTTAAGTTTTGCTGGTTTTCCAAATCATCAGGCATAAAGTATCTTATGTTTTTATAAAAATACACAGATGTCACATGGGAAGAACGTGGTTTCATAGATCAAAAATAAAACAGTACAAAAGATGCAGGAAATAAAGTGTAGGTAGTTTATATATATATATATATATATATATATATATATATATATATAAAGTGAACATAGAAGTCAACATTTAGAGGCGACAGTCTGTTTCATGCTATATGCAATCGTCAGGCCATGTGTGCTGTTATTTTTCTCGGCTATTTATACATATATCGGTCAGTAGTGCATTGTGGGTAGTCTATTATGGTGGTTATTTTACCGGAAGTTGTTTATTTATTTATTTATTTGGGTTAAATTATTTTGCTTGTTTTTATTTAATTTTAGTTTTTTGTTTCTTATTTTATTTATTTATTTTTTTTTTTTTTTATCAGACGAAAAAAATAGCTATAACTGTTATATAACGATAAAAAAATAAATAAATAAAATAAAAAATAAATACAACGTGACTTAAAAATGGAAAACCGAAAAGAGAAAATATACAAGTAAAATAAATAGACCTAAATCCATCCAAGTAAATAAATAAACTAACCAATCCCAATAAAGTTACTGTTAGAAAAAACAAATAAAGATAATCAACCCAAATAAACACAAATTAAAAACTGTTTCTGCCAAAATAATAGTTAGAATAAAACTACAACAACCAACCCCAAAACCAAACAAATAGCTTTAATTAAATTCTCAAACCAAAACAAAACTATTAAAAAAGTGATATAAACAAATTTTTACTACGTTAATAAAAACACCGATTAAAAAAATAAGTAAATAAATAAATAAATAAAATAAGAAACAAAAAATAAAATTAAATAAAAACAAGCAAAATAATTTAACCCAAATAAATAAATAAATAAACGACTTCCGGTAAAATAACCACCATAATAGACTACCCACAATGCACCACTGACCCGTATATGTATAAATAGCCGAGAAAAATAACAGCACACATGGCCTGACGATTGCATATAGCATGAAACAGACTGTCGCCTCTAAGTGTTGACTTCTATGTTCACTTTTATATTTACACACGCTCTATCTCTGATATTGAGCACTTTATCCCATAAATATGGCACACCTTAAGACTATATTTCTTCATATATATATATATATATTTGGTTGGATTGATGTGAGTTTGTGACCTTGGGTTTCACGCCTTTGCGATCGCCAGACAAACTGATTAATTTTTTTAAATTTTGGGTTTATGTAGATTGCGTGTATTGGTGTTATTATGGAAGTGGGGGGAATCGTCGTTGTGATGTCACTCATACTAATGCAAACATAGATGCATGTCTGTACACCCATTGAGGTACACAGACACACCTACACACTCGTCCGCTGGGGCTCATACAGACATAAACATATGTGGACAGAATGGGATTTGACATATGTATGTATATGTGTGCTGTTGTCTATATACATACGCATTTGTATGTGGAAATTCAAAGATCAGAAGTGTAGCGAACATTTCTTGTGAATGATATTGAGCACTTTCTAATAAGTACCATATATAATATATAAATATAAATAATATATATATATATATATATATACACACACACACACACACACACACACACACACATATATATATATATATATATATATATATATATATATATATATATATATTCCAAACATTGCTTGAGGATGAGACTGCCACCTGGTAGTTAAGGTTTAATATTGAAATTAATCCTGAATACTGCTGACCAGTGTTGAAATATAGTAATTTCTGTGTCACGATGGAATCATATTTTTAAAAAAATAATTATAATCTAGGCTCTACTTCTGTATCGAGCACTGTTTTCAAAAAGAAAAACAAAAATACTAAAGAACTTCGGATCATCAATCTATCAGTTCTTTCCTATTATATCAATATATATACACACACACACACACACACACACATGTATACATACATATATATATATATATATATATATATATAAAAATACAAGTTTCATTAAAAATGACTGACAAGGTACTGCGGTTAAGGTTAAGTTTATTATTTAATTTTTCTTGTCTTCTTATAATTTTCTTTTCTGAACATAGATTATGTAGAAATTGTCCAAATGTTCTGTATGTCTAAGAGCTTTCGGCTTGTTTTCTTTTATTATAAATGAAAGTGCTCAAACATACAGGAACATTTAGACAATTTAGATAATGTACATTATTTATATCCTGGACTGCAACCCAGTCTGGACTTTTATTTACATTTTATTCCTCAATAGGAGTAGATAGGTTTGCTTATCGTCTGTTTCACATTCCTCTCCCTGATCTTTTGAACAGAAGTAGAGGTTTATCTCACATTATTTCTAACATCTCCACCTCTTCAAGTCTAGAGTTAGCCGTTATCCTTCCTGCATAGCCACCAATACCATCACTTGTTGCCCTTTCTTACACTAATGCAACACCAACCTATTTATTGACATTTTATTCCTCAATAGGAGTAGATAGGTTTGCCTACCATTCGATTCACACTCCTTCCTGGTCCTTTGAACAGGAGTAGAAGAACTATTTGGGAGCTGTTGGTATTTAAGCTAGAACAAAATCGTAAGTCATTTTTGACTGAGGGTTTGAGTGTACTAGCTTTGTTCAGGCTATTGCTCACGCCAAGATAATACGCTCTCTCCCAGAAACTGTAACTAAGGTTGTTGTAGCATACCTACAGACGATAATGGGTATGTCCTCATTCACATAAATACGGTAGTAAATACTGTATGTTGGTCTGCAGTTGGAGATTTATTGTAGAATTCACTTGACTCACATCTAGCAGTTGACTACTACTTCTACGCACTGCTGGCAAATCTTATATGTGTTGTTCTTGTCCTAAGTATTATCATTAAATACCAACCTTTGTGCAATTATTCTATTCAGTAACCTTCCCTAGGTTACAACAAAGGTCCACTCAGCATAGTTTCAGTATAAAGCATAGGTCGGCTCTGTGGGTGTGGAACAAATACAAATATGCCTGAGCAAACACCTGCAGTAGGGACTATCTTCCCAAGCAGACAGCTATATTCGGATATGAGTGGCCAGACATTACATTACAACACCACACAGTAATCCTCTACTTTGGATGGCTCTTGAGCCTTTTATTAGGTGAATATTAATAAAAAAAAAATTTAAAAAAAGATAAAAGAAAAATGTTTACCATTTCTTTTTAATTAGATTTTCTTGCTCCGCCAACTCCATTCATGAGTGCTGCCCCATCTGCCCCGCCAATTGAAAGACCAGAATTCTCGATGTGAGTAAATTTCTTTTGAGCCTCTGAATTATTTGAACAAGTACCCTACTGTGCAGTGAGGGGATGGCTGATATATCCTTTGATATTCTGGCCATTTTCTTTATCAACTGAACCATACACATGCTGTTTTTTTTTGTTTTTTAAGTAAATCTAATTTTTTTTCCTTTGATTAAAAAAATTTTTTGTTGGGGTGGATCATTATTTTAAATAATTTCCAAAGTACCAATCAGAATTATTCCGCTCCACTGGACAAAATAAAAAGATGGTCAAATTTTAAACTTTTCAAATTTGTAGAATAAAACATTTTCATGGCATTTAAATAAGTTGATAATTTTCTGTTCTGCTTTGCCATTGTTTCTAGTGGTCCCACATGGACGGATGAAGAAGTAAGAGATGCCTTACTTGAACATGTATCACATTTTTGCTGCTATGGTTCAGGGACAGCTAAAAATATGGTCATCACTGATAAAATAGGGACAAGTGCTTATCATGTAAGTATAAACAAATATATACATATTTATTGTTAGCCTTTTATCTTGATATGTTTACCTTATTTGAAAGCCAAAATCAGATGGTATATCAATACTTGTACTCTACACACCCATACCTACTGCTATTCTGTGAGTATGTATATATATATATATATATATATATATATATATATATATATATATATATATATATATATATATATATATATATATTTTATAGTAAAAAAAAAAGGAAGAACAGTAAGATATGTAATCCAATGTTCTTATTGATATTTTTTATTTTTACAAAAGAATGCTCAATGTAAATTTACAGACCATAAATATTATAGATTAACTGATTTAATTTAACCATATTTTTAAATCAGTTAATTTATAATATATATTTTATAAAAATCAAATGAATGGAAAATATAAACAGGACGAAAGTAGAATTAAGAAAATTATTAAAACAATGCACAACACCAGTGGACAATAGCAAAAAATTAGATTAATTATTTATTACAAAAAATTAAAACCTCTAACTTTATAGTTAAAAATAATAATTTACCTCTTATAACAAAGTTAAATAAGGCAAATATTATTTATGAATTTAAATGCCCATTAAGGAACTGTATTCCTGATCAATCAAAATTCGTAAATAATTATATAGGCCATACTACATGTTTGACACGCAGACTCATTCTACGCCTTTCTGACAATAGCTCAATTAGATCTCATTTAAATATTCATGGGGACTTACCGGACACTATTCATAACATACTTGCTGACAACACTAATATAATAGCATCATCTACAGGCAAAAAAAAGGCTAAAAATAATGGAAGCCTTATTAATAAAAGCAAGAAAAACAATATTTAATAATATCAACTATGAACATGGAGACAATATCTTGACCGTGTTTTGAAAAATGTAAACATTATATAAATACATACATGCAACAAACTATTTCTTATTTAACAGTTAAAATATTTAATCCTTGAAAATGGCTAAATGTATAGCCGAAAGCGCTCAGAAAAAAAGGACATTCGGACAGTTTTTATATAATTTATCATTTGAAAAGAAAAAATTATTAGATCACATGAGAAATTGTATAAAAAAAACTAAATAAAAGCACCTTGTCTGTCATATTCAATGAAATGTGCATGAAAGAAGGACTGCTGTCTAAATACACAAATATATATATATATATATATATATAATAAATGCCAGTGTCAAACTCCTAGAGGCTGTAGCCCAACATATACCATTTTAAGATCAGGCTGACTCCATGAGCAAATTAAAGATATTTTGAGCTGGATTCAGACCAGCAATCCTACAATTTTAGATTCCCAAGTTTTCATTACTGCAATTGTTTTTAGATTCTGCCATCTTGGCTTCTACTGAAAAAAAACAATTAAAGGGACACAACTCTCTAATTTTCAATAGCTCATGTTCAAATGAAAAAATTACTGTTCTCAAATTACAGTGTTTCAAAATAAAGTTGTCCATGTTTTCCACTTTACTCCAACATATCATACCATTTTGGAATCAGGCCGACTCTATAAGCAAATTAAAAACATTCCAGGCCGGATAAGGACCCACAATCCTGAAGTTTGGGATTCCCAAGTTTTCATTACTGCAATTGTTTTCAGTGATTGATGATGTTTTTTTTACATGATTTTTTTTTAAATAAATTTTTTTGTACGGAAAAAATTTTTATAACTTGGAAATAAATTTGGGAATAATCAAAACTATTTGTGAAAATAAAAATAATTGTTTGTACAGGAAGTAAGGTTCTGAGTGCATTAAATTGTCTCTAAATTAAGTGGCAGTAGAAGAATTATTGTTGGACTTTAAAAAGATAAGCTCAAATATTAATGCAATACTTAAGTGCAGCAATCAATCTTGATTTTTTTCTGCAGTTTATTGTTGCCTATTACATCTCCTCCTCCCTACCTATTGCGATGAAGGCCCAATCAAGAACCCTCCACAGGAGATAGCTTAAATGCTGCTTATAATGTGGCTTTTAAGCTTGTGTGTGTGTGTGTGTATATATATATATATATATATATATAATGTATGTATGTGTGTGTGTGTGTGTGTGTGTTTTCTGACTGACCATTCTAGAATGCAGCCTGACGTAATAAGCCATAATTCTTACTTTCCAGCTGAGTGGCACTTGATCCCTAAAGTTCATTTCCTTTTCCCTCCTTTTGGACAGTGAGTGTTTCCTTAGAAACTCTCACATCTTTATTTTTATTGTTGGTTGTTTTGCAACTGCCAGAGCTTCAAGCCAAGATAATATCATTTACAATCCACTTTACTACATAACTGTCCGTCCTGAGCCAATCAAGCAGTGGTTCCCATTGTGTTAAACTTCTAATTATTTAAAAATATTTTATTTTATTTTTTTTTATTTTTTTGCAGTATCGTTTGGAAACATTTGGAGAGGGTCGGCAGGTCAATTGGACCTTTAAACCATATGCAAGTGAGTTGAGATCAATAGCTTTTATCTATGTTTGCACTAATATTCACATCTTCATAAAGAAAATTATTTCCTTCCAGTTAAAGCTAAGATGAAGGATTTGTGCAGGTCACGAAAATGAAATGGTCAATATCAAAAGCAAAAACCCATAAAAGCATGAAAATGCAACTTGCTTGGTACTGAATCGTATCCATCTATCTATTGATGCTCGGAATTGGTCAAATCTAAATTTGCATGGGTTTTGTTTTGCTTTTTTCAGGCATAGAATACATGTGACCTGTGGGCATTTCATTCGACTAGCAATATAACTACTTTTATTGATACAATAAGCTCTTTGTTTTTTTGTTGTTTTTTTTTTTTGTTTTTTTTGTTTATGGCATTTTCACCAAGGAAACATTTTCAATTGTTTTAGTAAGCCTCGGGGTTCTTGATAAGATCCAGAGATGGATATGCAATGTAATTGGCCCTGATCTGGCATCTCGTCTGCAGTCACTCTCTCACAGACATGCCGTCGCCTCTCCCTGTCTTTTTTACAAATACTTTCATGGTAATTATTTCGATGAGGTGCTTTCGCTGGTTCCCAGATTTCATGAATTCAAACGTCCTACGAGGCTGGCATCCCACTCTCACCTTTTCTCTGTTGAAACTGTTAAATGTAGCCGTCTCTTCTACTCCAATAGCTTCATATCTCGCACCTCTCGCCTGTGCAACTCCCTTCCCTTTTCCTGTTTCTCTGATAGCTATAATCTCCAACTATTCAAATGTAATGTCAATCGACATCTCCAGTTGCCTTGATCTATCCACTATCCTCCCCCTCATCCTTTCTGCTCTTGCTCCAAATCCTCTGTAACTCCCTGTGTGCTAGTGGCTTCCCGCCTTGCTTGGGGTGACATGTTTAAAAAAAAAAAAAAAAATCATAATCATACTTATATATTGTATGAAAATTTTTTATTAAAAATTAAAAAATTAAAACAAGTTACAAACAAAATGGTTGATCAAAATAGATTAATTATGGAAATTTTTGACAAGTATTTCTTTAATTTTATTTCTCTTGTTTTTTTTTTTTTTTCATTAAAATTCTCAAATCGTCTTTCTTTGATTGCTATCATTCTTAATCAGGAGAAAATTCATGGTCAAAATATTGTAACAGCAAAAGCAAGAAAGAGAATGAGTTCAATCATCTGAATGACTATTGGAATAATAATGACTCCTCTCCAACTATGAAAAATATAGGTTATTTGATAATGAGTAAGACCCAAATTTAGGCACCAAAGAGATTTGAGGCACCAAACATGAGAGACTTGAAAACCCCTGACATGAATGGATGCATTTTAGCCTACTCCAAAGAACAGGCAATGCTGGCCATGAGCAAACCTGAATAATACATCAACAAGCAATCAATGGAAGAAGAGATATGATCAACTTGATAAGTGTTTCAATCAATTTCAAATAGATATATGCATATGGACTTCATCCCCGATGCTATGACATTAACTGCTAAAGGATTATGTTTGCAATTCTCTCTTATTCTATAATATATTACTTATATAAAGAATGCTTTTTAAATTGTTCATTTGTCTTGTTCTTCTGTTACAACTCATATGGGTAGTTGCTAATTTTCCCATACAAATTAAAAACAATCAATTGAACTAAAGAAAACCTTTTTTTACTTTTCTATTAAATTTTTTTCACTAATCAAACTATCTAAATTTCATTTCAGTGGGGACATTTGTTGATGGTCCTGAAAATGGCCGAGCTCTAGGACCCTGGGAAATACCAGTACACATTACTGAATATTTCAAAGATTTTACCCAAAAGCTGGAAATTCCTCATACATCCTTTGTTAGGGTATAGTTCTTTTTTTGTTTTTGTTTTTTTTTTCCTTGTTTTATAACCTCACCTTTATGTTGAAAAAAATTATTTTTAGAAAACCTTCACATAATATTGAAAATATCTTTTTTAATTTGACTAAGTTACTTTAAAAAAGGTCATAAAAATTCCGTCAAACTTGGACCTTCATGCCTGAAAAAAAAATTAAGTGTTGAAAGGACGGTTTTTCCATTGACACTGTTATTTTAATTATCTTCATTCCTCGGCAATGTTTATTATTTTAAAAAAGGATAATTAGAATTGTAATAAAACCTAAACATATGAAAGTGAATTTATTCATTTTTTTTTGTTAAGAAGTTGCAACAAAAATATTAAATACTATTTACTTATTAAATTGTTTAAGAATAATTTTATATTTAAAACATCCTAAAAACTAATACAATGAAATATTTATCATTTACCAATTTATAAAGAAATATGAAAACCTTTTTTATTCATAAATTCATAAATATTTACTAAATTATGTCACACATTATGAAATGGACAAAGTCCGACAATTATTTTAAGACATTTTTTTTTATTCAGGCTGGTAAATGTTGTTTAATACTGTTTATTATAAAACAGAGCATTTACTTAAATATTTGTATCTATAAAAAGAATGTATAAACATAAAAATGTCTTAAAATAATTGTCGGACTTTGTTCATTTCAAAATGTGTGACATCATTTGTTTACATTTGATATGCCATGAGCAGATATGAATGTACATGAGAGATTCATGGAAGATTGAAGTTTAAATACAGTAAATTTGACCTTGCTAACCGATCGATCCTCTATGGCGAAATCGGTAAATGCACATCAAGCTAAATGACGGTTAGGATACAGGTTCAGAGGATGCATATTTTCTGTGAAAATTTCTCGAACATTCAGGCCGATAAATGTTGTTTAAATACTGTTTATCAAACAGAGCATTTACTTAAATATTTGTATCTATAAAAAGAATGTATAAACATAAAAATGTCTTAAAATTTACTAAATTATTAAAATATATGAATCAACTGGCAATTAGCCAATGTTTTGGCAACCATTCTAATAAATAGTCTAATAAATAAATAGTGCAAATAGTCAATCTAATAAATAGTATTTATTATTTTTGTTGCCAATTCTCAAGAACAAAGAAAATATATAAATTCACTTACATATGTTTAGGTTTTATTACAGTTCTAATGATTGCTTTCTAAAACAAACATTGTCAAGGAGTGGAGATAATTAAAATAATAGTGGTATCAAGGGAAAAACCATGCTTTTGTTACTCTTCTCTTTTTTTTTTTCTTTTTGTGGGCACAAAGATCCATCTTTGCCAAAATTCCAATGAAGATGGGAAAACACTGAAATGTTATTTTATGTTTTTCTCTCTCAAGCCTGTAGGCTTCAATGTGGATCATAGCAACACTGCTTCAGCACACACTGTATGGCTGCTGTGGTTACTTTACTTAGTAGGTATTTATGGGGTAGAATTGATCACCCCATGCCAAACCCTTGCCAACCAAGGCTGAAGAGCTGAGTCTGTCTTATTATTTAACCCATAGCTGAAGGGAGAAAAAGTTTCATACCTTTCCCAAGGGTATTTGTACAAAAAGGAATGTAACAAGCTTGATTTGAATTCAAACTTTCTTTTGATTTTCAGCTCCCTACCACTAACCACTACACCACTTGTACATCCTGATATGCCAGAGCTCTAATTATAGGTTTAGTGATCAAATTTCCAAAACACTGGTTCTTTTTTTTTTATTATTAATTTCATAATTACAATTTTATTTAGTTTTATTACTTGAGAGACCCGTGAAAATTTCGCAATTTTCCTATTTGAATTTTCTGATGAATCTTAATGATTGAATGAGGTCATGGTGAGTTCTACGACAGTAAAATATCCGTAGAAATTCTATCGCATCATTAAATATTTGTGCTTAACAACTTTAATATAATATTGCAATAACAATCATAAATATGAGTGCTGGTTGTTATTTTAAGAAGTAAGGGGGTACAAATGAAAAGATTTGAAATTGACTATTTTTTCCATTTTACTGAAACCGCCATTAAACTCTTCTTCCTTCCTTTCTTTAATTTTTTCACTGAAACCAAATAGTGTCTTTTTTCCTTTTTCATGTGATCAAAACAGAATAGTCCATTATTTATGAAGTATTGGAAGGGCATAATGGTTGTACAAACTAATGAGGGGGGTGGCAAGCACAATTATTGTACAATTATTATTATTATTATTATTATTACACTGCCCTGGGTATGACGATAAACTACATCCGCATCCAGGGTAAGACGATAAACTACGTCCAACAACAAGGCCTCTGATCAGGAGGCTTTGAGGAGTGTGGAACCACCTCTTAATTGCTGGTGTTTCCAGGACCACCATGACCTGGGGTGGTAGCACCTGTTAGGGTCCCAGCTATGGGCAAATAGTTAACCCTGAAAATGAAGTAAAAAGCATTATGAAAATGTAAAAATAGGTTTTAATACCAGAAATAAGTCTTTGAAAAAAAAAACTATTACCTGCAATATGTTTTTGAAATAAATTGTTATAGTGGAACACACCTATTCTATAGTTAATAGACTCTCCCATCTATAATAAGTAGGAGTAGTAAGAGTAACGCGGGGGTCGGTCAGTCAGTTGATGTCGGACGACAGTCGAATACTAAAGTATCAGAAACCACAAATAGATTACTCTGCGTAATGCTTATTATATAAAGTTCCTAATGTTTTGTATGTTGAACCTATTTTAGGACCAACTTAGTACCAATACAAGCCTCCACTGCGAAATCACTCCACAACAAAAATATATTACAAGCTATACAATTTTGATGAAAAAACATTACCAGAAATAGATTTTTGACAAAACAAAAATATTACCAGAAAAAAAAAAAGTTGTCGACATTAAATGACCCATTGAGGTTGATATGCTGTAAAACAAAACAAACGAAACAAACCAATTGTTATTAACCACAATTTTGGACTGACTTTTCCTTTTTCTTTCTTTTCAGCCGTGTCATACATGTTCAACTGCAGGAATGGTGATTTGTCAATCGTGCTTTGGAAAAGGCAGGGTATGGATGACATTGTCAAATAAAATCTGACATTCTTTTACTCCATTCCCCGCTCTGCTATTGAAATCTATATTTAAATTTGATATCCTTCAAAGAATAAATGATCAAGGCTCTTCACAATGTTCTTTCCTTTAATGTTGGTGAATTGCCATGATTACTTAGCAAAGATAATCGGATGTTTTCCCATTGCCTTCTCCTCGGTTTTGAATTTAAAGTTATCCTTCTCCTTGACTGGCTGCTACTCAAGGCTAGAGAGCGATTTCTACTCTGATATTTAACCCATAGTTGGGTCGGTTGAAGAGATGGATTCATATCTTTCTCCAGCACCTTTGTGTGAAAGTGAGTGCTGAAATTTGAACTCTGACCACCAATTCTACTTTTGACATTGCAGATATAAATATATATTTATGTAATGTTAGTAACATCTGATACGAGAATAAAACTAAATTTTTCATGTATAAAATAACTGTTTATTCACTTCTGGACTCTGGACAAAGTAAAGTTGGAAGTGGAGTGTATGCACTCTTCAGGGAACAAACAATCTATATTCTCCTAAGGATGTGAGGGATTCTACCTTCCTCCAAATTGGTCAGGTGTTTACATGTCTTCCTGATATCTGGTTGTTTTGTGGGTGTAAATTATGTTTACCTGGGTAAATTTCCTTTTTTTATGTTAGCTGAAATCTTTTGAGGTTTGATTCTGCACTTGGTGGCTATGAGGCTACCTTCTAGGTCAGCTGTCTTTTGACATTCTATTGTAACACCAAGTACAAAGCTTAATTTGGTATCTTTCATTGAACCCGGTACATACTGGGGTCACCACAGATCAACTCTTAAATCAGAGATTCCTGATGGGCATTAATTCATTCAGACCTTTGGTATTTTATTGCATGAGTTGTTAGTGTTGCTCCAGGTAAAAGGTCACAATTTTGAATACTGAATTTTCAGATAGGCCAGACAGCAGGCCATCTAGTAGACTACTACAAAACAATCTTCCTAAGACTGTTCTCCCAGCTTATCTTTGGCCATTATTGAGATTAATAAATAAATGCTTAACTAAAAGAAACATTACTGTATTTGACAGCATATAAGACACATGGATGTATAAGGCACACCCCAATTTCAGCCTGTCCTGGGTATGACAATAAACTACATCCACGTCCTGGGTAAGACGATAAACTGCGTCCGACAGCAAGGCCTCTGATCAGGAGGTTTTGAGGAGTGTGGTACAACCTCTTAATTGCTGGCATTCCCAGGTCCACCCTGACCTGGGGTGGTAGCACCTGTTAGGGTCCTAGCTAATGGGTAAATAGTTGACACCCAAACTTGTGTAAAAATAGGTTTTAATACCAGAAATACTTTGTAATAAAAAAAAAATATTACCAGCAATAATTTTTGAAGGAAAAATTATTATCAGCAATACTTTAAAAAAATATTAGCAATACAAACAGCTATACATTCTTTGAAAAAAATATGACCAGCTATAGATTTCTTTAAGGAAAAATATTCCCAGAAATAGATTTTTGAAGAAAAACATATTACCAGCAATAAAAATTTTGTCGATATGTCGTAAAACAAACCAAACCAATTTCAGCAGGGCAAATCAAGAAAAAAATTAATAATTAGTAAAATTAGTAAACCTACATATGGTATATAAGAAAGGGGAATTTTAAAAGATATTTTTAGTTAAAAAAAAAAAAAAATGCGTCTTGTATGCTGTCAAATACGGTATAACTCTCCAGTGCCTGTGGTTACTTGTGCTGCACTAAGAAAAGTATTTTTTTGTGTATGTGTGTTTTTGTTTATAAGTTGGTATTTGATTATTTTTTTTTCTCTTTAACTTTCTTTTATTCAGAAATTATGTTCCCACTGTCATGGCACTGGTCATCGGCATGTCGGATCTGAAAGAAGAAACTGTATGTTTTGCCATGGACACAAAACTGTTCTGTAAGTATCATGTATACTATTAATAAATATGCTATGAAAACAGTTTTGATTGAAGATCGAGGAACTGCATTCACTGGTTCCCAGACTTCATGAATTTAAGTGCCCTAAGAGGCTAGCATCCCGCTCTCACCCTTTCACTGTTGAAACTACTAAATGTAGCCGTCTCTTCTACTCCAATAGCTTCATGTCTCGCACCTCTCACCTGTGGAACTCCCTTCCCTATTCCAGTTTCCCTGAGAGCTATAATCTCCAACTATTCAAATGTAATGTCAATTGACATCTCCAGTTGCCTTGATCTATCCACTATCCTTCTCCTCATCCTTTCCTTTATCACTCCTATTTGATCTTGATCCAAATCTTCTGTAACCCCTTGCATCCTAGTGGCTTCCCACCTTCCTTGGGGTGAAACGCTTAAAAAAAAAATGGCAATGAAATTTGTTCAGTAAAAGCAAAATCTTGTACATGGCTCAATTCACTGTCCAATTTGAACACCATTAAGGCTCAGACAATCCTAAACTTTTTATTTTTTAATAAGGTTATATGAGATGTGGCTCAATTGGAACAATTCACTATCGCTTTTCCATCTGTTGAATTAACTAACCAGTATGTGACACTAAAAATGATCCACGGTTGAGAAACACTGCCTTTCAAGAAACATCAAGAGAACAATAAATTAGTTTAAAAAAAGAGGGAACTCACAACAGGAAGAGGGATCATCATTTCAACTTAGAGCTAAAGAGATCAGTTAGAAAAGATCCAACTCAATTCACAAGACATTTGGCACATAAAAAGATTTAAAATGAAATGAAGGTACATTTTTACTTCAGTTCAGAGTTAGGATAAGGAGGGTGAAGATCATCTTGCATAAGTTGGAAAATGATCCTGGAATAATATATATTTGAACTTTATTTCAATACTTCATGAGCTTCCAATCCTTAGCTATGATTAATTAATGATGAACATCATTTCCGTTTATGATCGATTTCATCACGATTCTTCTGTTAAGCTTGGAGAGTAATTATACATTCTTATTGCTCAAAGTAGAGTCCAATAGTGTTATAAAAACCTCAGAGAATTCCGGTAAGATATCATTAATCATTTCTAAGATACAACAGTTCAGAGCTTAATCTAACAATTGGACAATTTTGGTGTTACACCATATATATATATATATATATGTGTGTGTGTGTGTACATATAATCTCACACAATCTGTCTGATATCACCTTAAGTGAAATTGTTTCTTTATCATTCAAAAATCTCATGAAATTTTACACTTATCTTTTGCAGTTGTAAAACATGTCATGGAAAATGTTTTGTTATTTGTCCATCTTGTGAAGCAAATCGCAACCTCAGGTTTTATCTGGAGTTAACAATCCAATGGTAAGTTCATTAACACCTTTCTTGGAGTTGCTTTAGTCTTGATATTGGGAACGTGAGTCCGACCCTTGGCGTGTGGCATGGTAAAACAATTACTAATTGAAAAAAAATGTAATTGGTGAAGGGGTGTCAAATTTTGTTTCAGTTGCCCATGTTCTTTTCTGTCCATTCACCAAATATCTTCCCAATTGATGGATGGTATGCCACAATTGCTGATAAAAGAAAGAATGTTTGAGAAAGGACTTTGGCAAACCAGTCTCCTACAGTAACTTGACCTGCTCAATCAGTAGTAGTTAATGTTGTTAGTGTTATTTTCAATACATACCAACATACATATATATAATGTCCAATGTTAGTCCATCCTGGGTAGGACTATAAACTACATCCAGCAGCAAGGCCTCTAATCAGGAGGTTTCGAGGAGCGTGGAACCACCTCTTAATTGCTGCTGTTCCCAGGTCCACCTGGACCTTGGGAGTGGGGTAACACCTATTAGAATCCCAACTATGGGCAAATAGTTAACTCCCAAACTAGGGTCGCTATGAAAGTATAAAAAAAAATTTATAGTAAAAATATCAGCAATATATTTTTCATATTAAAAGAAATTACCAGTAAGGAAAAAAATGTATTGCCAGCAGTACATTTCTGGAACCAAAAAAAAAAATATATTACCAGCAGTATATTTCTGGAACCCCAAAAAATATATATATTACCAGCAGTATATTTCTGGAACCAAAAAAAAATATATATTACCAGCAGTATATTTCTGGAACCCAAAAAAAAAAAATATATTACCAGCAGTATATTTCTGGAACAAAAAAAAAACATATATTACCAGCAGTATATTTCTGGAACCCCCCCAAAAAATATATTACCAGCAGTATATTTCTGGAACCCCAAAAAAAAAATATATATTACCAGCAGTATATTTCTGAAACAAAAAAAGATATATTACCAGGAGTATATTTCTGGAACAAAAAAAAATATATATTACCAGCAGTATATTTCTGGAACCAAAAAAAAACATATATTACCAGCAGTATATTTCTGGAACCAAAAAAAACATATATTACCAGCAGTATATTTCTGGAACCAAAAAAAAAATATATTACCAGCAGTATATTTCTGGAACCAAAAAAAAAATATATTACCAGCAGTATATTTCTGGAACCAAAAAAAAAATATATTACCAGCAGTATATTTTTGGAACCAAAAAAAAAATATATTACCAGCAGTATATTTCTGGAACAAAAAAAGATATATTACCAGCAGTACATATCTGTAAAATAAATTACTAATGCTCCCAAGAAAATTAAATTTTGACCTTAAATGACTCATAAGGAGTTGATATGCCACTAAACAAACATACTCATACTAAAATGTTGGTTGGTTGGTTGATTTTGTTTAGCGGCATATCAACACCTCTATGGATTATTTAATGCCGAAATCTAAATATTTTCAACAAAATTTTATGGATTCAACAAAATATATTTTGAATGCAATTGTCTGCCTTCAAATACAGATAAAATGTATTGTTGGTCATTTTACTATAAATGTGTATTGCTGGTTGGTTGATTTTGTTTAGCAGCATATCAACACCTTTAGGGCTATTTAATGCCGAAATCTAGATATTTTGATTGGTTTGGTTGTTTTTGTTTAGTGGGTTATATATGTCTATATGGGTTATTTAATGCCAAAATTTAAACATTTTGAACATGATTATGTGCCTTCAACTACAGACGAAATGTATCATTGGTCATTTTGCTTTAAAAATATATTGCTGGTAATTTTACTATAAATAGATATTATTGGTAATTTTACTATATAAAAATGTATTGCTGGTATTTTTACTATAAAAATAAAAATCTATTTTTATACTTTCATAGTGTTTTGTTTTTGCTTTGGAGGTTCACTATTTGACCATAGCTGGGACACCAACAGGTGCAGCCACCCCTATGTCCAAGGTAGCAGTGATTGTGTTTATCAAAATAAAGTTGAAGTAATTTTATATAGCAATTTTTAATGGTAACTAACAAAAACAATGATGGCATTATATAAGGGTTCAAATATTCAAGGTAGCAGTGAACAGGTGAGAACTATAAAATATAATGTCCTCAAGGACACATCACCTAGTGGTTGGATCCACTGACTTGACCCAAAGAGTTGAGAGTTCAATACCTGGCTACTGCAGTGATGAACAAAAACTTGGAGAGTTGAGTTAAAGGGAGATAACTCAGACATCCGGAAGCAGTATGGCATGTGGAACTAGAACACTCTACCCCCAGTGGATGAAATAAAGGGTTCAGTTCAAAATTTCAATCATCGGATGAAGGCTGGAATGTACAATGGCCAAAATGTTGTAATATGGCAACAGTCCAAACAATGTAAATATAATTTGTAAATGTTTCTGGTCACATAACTATAAAGTCTTGCCATGTTTTTTTGTTTTTTTTCCAGGAAGAATCATGTTGAAGACTACATTTTCAGTGAAAATTCCCTGCCCCCCAATCTCATCAAGGATGTATCAGGAACAACAGCCTTTGAAGAGACTCACTTAAGAGTAAGGGAAAATAATATTCTTTGGTCATTTCTTCCATTACAATCAACTGTTTCACATTTTGTTTGGTTTTGTTTTAATTATTTCACCCCAAGCAAGGCAATAAAGCCACTGAAACTCAAGGGGTTACTGAGTGTGAAAGAATATAAGAAAAAGAGAACATTATTAAAGAGAGAGGGCAAGAGAATGATTGACATCGTATTTTAATTTTTGGAAGATCAAAGCTGACTGGAAAGCAAGAAGCTGAAAGAGATTTCCACAAGTGAGAAGTGTAAGAAAAAAAACTGTTAACATAGAAGCTACAGTTACATCTAACCATTTCAAGTGTAAAGTGATGAGACCTAGCTGCCAATCAAGTATTGCACTTCAATTACCATGACTTCCCTTTGAACTCCTTTCTCTCAGTTTTCAGTCTATGGTGCTCTTCAAACGTCAGGACAACCATCAATTGTATGATATTAGCTCCATTGAGAAAAGGCTTCATTAAAATATGGTGTTATCTATATTCAAACTTTAAATTATTGTGCTAGACATTCTTTTTTTTCATTTCACCCCAAACAAGGTGATAAATCCACTGAGACACAAGAGGTGACTAAGTGTGAAAGAATATGAGAAAACAATAAAAGAACATCAAGACAGACAATAAAAATTGACATTGCATTTAAATTTTTGAAGGTCAAATTTGACTGGAAAACAAGAAACTGGAAGAGATTTCCACAAATGAAAAATCCAAGATAAGAAACTGTTAACATAGAACTTATGACTACATCTAGCCATTTCAACTGTAAGATGTTGAGACTTTGCTGCACATTTAGTACTCCGCTTAAATTCATAAAGTCAAAGTACCAAAGAAGGTTAATTATTTTATAGTACTGTTGTTGCTTCCAATCCTACTAAAAATGATGGTAAAATACTTTCCTCTTGCCAATTTATAGGCCAAAGCACAAAAATTCCCAATTCCCATTGTATATCACCTGAAGAAGGCTGGAGAGTATAATGGCCTGTAGGGAGACCACAGTGTTTTCCCTTTGCATTAGCCAATGAGAGTTGTGGCCCCTTTTTAGTGAGTAGAACTCTTCTGCCTTTTTTTGTCGTCACTTCTGTTTTGGGAGGAACGATCTCTTTTCCTTCCTGACCACCAGAGCGTCCACACACGTGGAAACTGGTCAACATGGGTATGGCCTAACGCAACAAACTCATTCACTTATCTGGAGACGACCAAAGGCCATGAAATTGGTAGGTTATTTCTTTGTACTAATTCTGTTTAACCTCCTCGTTCCTTTGGGACAATATGGACATTTATTTGTTTTGGGACATGTATAAATCTTGTGTATATATTTACGAAGGCTGCTTGCCACATTAAATGTTTCATTGGTTACACTCGCGTATTTCGTCTTTTCATATTCGCATTCAGTGTTAGTGTATCAATGGCTACGCTAATGCTAATATTAGTATCGGTGTGCTACTGAAGGCTAGAACGCGTTATTCTACCTAACATAGAATAATTAGTAAACTCTGTGTGGCAAATACACACCCTATATTAATAGGCCAAAACATTGTGAATCAGGATATTCTGTTAGTTCCAATCTGCATTAGGAATGACTGCAAAACACTTTCCCCTCCTCTTTTTATAGATAAAACACACAAATGCTGGCAGGAATTTTTTTCCTCACCAATAAAATAGGCCAGTACTCAGTTTCATCTGACTCAGTCCCAGTCTGTCTTGTCAGAATGCTACATTCTTTTATCCAAATTTGCTTTTGTGTGTCCAGCCCAATTCTTAGTTTGTGAACTTTTTGCCATATTACTGTTAATTTGCCTTTCATATATTGTTTACTTGTTTTATTTTATTTTTTGACCTGTTCTTTTCTTTTTCTTGTTTATTGCAAACTTTGTCAATTGTTTGTTGGACAGTTCTGTCATTTATTTACATTTAATCATGGCTACTCACTCACAGTGCAGGCAAATAGACCAATATACTAATTTCATTTTAATTCTTAATGGTCAACTTGACTGAAGGGTACTTACATGAGGGAGTTCAGTTTCCCGACTATCATATGTGTAGGTCATGTAGCTTTTATACAAAAGGAAATAATAATGTTCAATATTTTGTCACTATTCTTCTATGGGCTATGTCCCTCCAGAAGCGGGCGATCATGGCTCTCCACAACTTCCTTTCCTTTGTAGCTCTTAGGAAGGTTTGTCTTTTTGCCATCTCTCCTAATCCCTGTTCTACTAACCATTTACACAAGCTCATTAAGTAGGTTATTCATGGTTTTTCTCGCCTTCAATATTTCCTGTGAGTGTCACATTCTCCAAGCTCTCTTTCCTCATTATTTGCACAAGAAATTTCCACTGTCTCTTCCTGGTGCTAAGTATAAGTGTCCTTTTTGTTTCCATTTCCTCTAAAAACTTTGTTGTTATTTGCATATTCAATCGCTGGTATTTTCATCATCTTCCTGTAGAACCACATTTCTGTTTGTTTCTACCCTCAAGGGTATGTGTCAGTGTCATACGCATGTGTAATCTTGAAGACAATCAGATAAACACCTTAAGGCAATTAAAACTCTGAAGAAGGCGAAGTCGCAGACATCGGCAGGTTTATCAAGAACCAAAAGGGTAAAACTAGAAAAAGAGTCTGAAAATACAAACAAACAAGGGCAACAAGAAATATGATAAAAGTAACTAGAGACTTGAACATAAAACTGAGACCATTTGTCTAAATCTAGGTTGGGGGCCATGAGACATTTTCAGGGGTCACAAGGCCAAGTTTGAAAAATAGGGGCCACAAAGGGGCACATAAAATTGACAATCCACAAAATTATATATAACTTACGCAAGTAGATGACAGAACGTGGTCTGGTGGAGAAAGAAGAGGGAAGGAACTTGTTGAGAGCTGCAAGGGATAGAGGGAGATGAGGAGCCATGATCACCTACGTCCTGAAGGGACATGGCACATAAGAAGGAAGGAGGGTCTGGAGAATCTGATACTCACAGGTCAAATAGAGGGAAAGAGAGACAAGGGAAAACAACGGATGACATACCTGGCGGCCTTTAGCAAGTGGATGACAGAACGTGGTCTGGGGGAGGTGGCAGATGGAAGGAACTTGATGAGAGCTGCAAGGGATAGAAGGAGGTGGAGAGCCATGATCACCTACGTCCTGAAGGGACATGGCACATAAAAAGAAAGAATCAGAAGCTTGAACATAAAACTGTGGCCATTTGTTTAAATCTAGGTTTCTCATCCTAGGCTATATGGCCCCTTTGCGACCATGAGAAATTTTCAGGGCTTACAAGACTAAGTTTGAAAAATGGGGGCCATGAAGGTGCACAAAAAATTTACAACCCACAAAATATATATATGTGCTGTGAGTGTCAAATTCTCCAAGCCCCCTTTTCTCATATGCCCAAGAAATTTCAACTGTCTCTTCCTGGTGCTAAGTATAAGTATCCTTTTTGTTTTCATTTCCTCTAAAAACTTTGTTACTTGTATGTTCAAACCCTGGTATTTTCATCATCTTTCTATAGAACCACATTTCTGTTTGTTTCTACCCTCAAGGGTATGCGTCAGTGTCATACGCATGTGAAATCTTGAAGACAACCAGCTAAACGCCTTAAGGCAATTAAAACTCTGAAGAAGGGTATAAGAGGCTACAAAGAACTTGCGTTGGATTGAAGGGAGCCACAACCAGAATAATGTTGAGAAACATTGGTCGAAATAAGTCCCATACATCAGAAGGTTTATTAAGAACCAAAAGGGTAAAATTTGAAGAGAAATAAATAGATATAAATAAGACTCGTTAGTCTCAAAATACAAACGAACAAGGGTAGCAAGAACTAACAAAGGCAGCTGAAGTCTTGAACATAAACATAGGACTATTTGCCTAAATCAAGGTTTCCCCATTGGGCCATATGGACCCCTTGGGAGCCATAAGATATTTTCATGGGTTACAAGGCCAAGTTTGAAAAATGGGGGGTAGGCACAATGTGGCACAGAAAATTTAGGACCCACAAAATATATATATATATATATAAGCACTCTTGGAGACCTTTCGATAGAGCTTGCTAGAGAAAAGGGTAAATTTCATAAAAACAGTGGCTGCTGCTGCTATGAATGCATTCCTCTTCAAATATGAATTGAGTTTTCTTAGCCACTGGTGTATTTTGTCTAGAAAAACACAATTTCCCTTTCTCTCTGCAGTGTGCTGACGGCTTAGGGGTAGGATGTCTGACTGACCAAATCGGTTGAGTTTCAATTCCAGCTTGAAGCAATTGGACATTGAGACACACTGAAGAGCTGTAATGCAGCAAAACAGTCTGTGGATGAATATTTTATAATTAATAATTATTATTTAAAATAAATTATTAAATTCATTATTAAGTTTAATATTAAATTAATTTAAGCTATTTTGTTAACATAAATATTTATTTATTCTAATTTTTCCATCTGATCTATGCAAAATGGCCATTTTTAGTTTGTAATTTTTTAAAGTTTAAATTAAGGTATGTTTTCTCCAACTTTCAATTTTGAAAATCTAAATGTTCTGAATAAAGAGCCCCAAGGAAATGACTCCACGTTGTTTGCTGTTTTCATGCAAGGGGGTAATTAATGCATTTAACAGGATACTAAAGCTCCTTAGGAGACGGGAGTTTGCACAGTTTCCTTCCTTAGCAAATGTATCCACCGAGCTGCTTTGTTGATGACCTAGCTATGTCGATCATTTGAAGCAGTTGCATTAATATGAAAACTCGCTTCTCTTATCGACTCCAAATGATAGTGCCGCACTAGTTTATGTTAATGCAAGAACTAAAATTGGCATGAGGAGCCATAAAGAACTCGCATTGGTTTGGGGAGGGGTGTGCACGACCAGAATAAGGTTGAGAAACATTGGTCAAAATGGTTAAAAGAAGGTGGGAAATACTTCGTTTATATGAATACGTATAAAGTTTGCTACATCAATACATTCCAGTGTTGTGGTGAGTTCGCAGAAAAGGAAGTTACGATAAGGTGACATTTTGCAACAGTGTAGACACGCCGCAAAAGGATTCTACACACACAGATTCTTTCTTTTTATATGCCGTGTCCTTTCGGGATCATGGCCCTCCACTTCTCCCTATCCCTTGTAGCTCTCAATAAGTTTCATCCCTCTGCCACCTCTCCCAGACCACATTGTGTTATCCACTTGCTTAAGCTCACCAGGTATGTCATGCATTGCTTTTCCATGTCTCTCTTTCCTTCTAATAGACCTGTGAGTATCAGATTCTCCAAGCCCTCCTTTCTCATTACGTGTTCCAGAAACTTCAGCTTCCTCTTCCTGATGTTAAATATAAGCCGCCTCCTTGTTTGAAACCTCTCTAAGACCTCATCATCGCTCACATGCTTGATCCATGATATTCTCAGTATCCTTCTGTAGAACTACATCTCAGTCACCTCAAGTCTCTTCTTCATCTTTGAGGAGACCATCCAACATTTGTTGCCGTAAAGGAGGACAGATGTCGCATAACAGCTCGGCACTCTTTACCAAAGAGATCCTCCTGTTTCGCAATACTCTACCCAGCTTTTGGAATGCGTTCTTGGCCCTCCCAATATGTCTATGGATCTCAGTGTTGCACTTGCCGTCTTCTGTCAAAACACTTCCCAGATATTTAAACTTCTGCACCTGCAAGTTGCATTTTGGGACACAGAGCGATACAAATGTATAAAATATAGCTACTTCAAAGAAATGTCCGAATAACATGGAAATAAAATATACAAATGTAGAGAAAGTTATCAAAAGCTACAAACTGATGATGGTTAACTTCATGGATGAGATCAGGAGGATAAAACTACCAATCACATGCTTGGCATAATGCCTTTATGGTGTGGGGTTTCAGTGAAGGGCTAACCAGAAGTGGTCAAAATGGTAACTAATCTAAAAAGTTTCTAAAAATAAAAAAATGGGACAAACAAGGGAAATAAAACAATAGTTTCTGTACTGTTTTATCAGCTTCAAATTTCTTCTTCATCTGTGATGAGATTGTCCTGTATTCACTGTCATATAGGAGGACTGATATTACATAACAGTTCAGTATTCTTTTCTTTGTTTCTAATGAGGTTTTCCACTTAATATTTTGCATAGCGTTTGGATGTTAACTTTTGCTATTCCAATGCGTCTTCAGATTTCAGTTCACATTTTCCATTCTTTCTAGATATTTAAATTTCTAATTTACGTGTTGGGCAGTTCCTTTTACTGATGACCAAACATTCTTCTTACAGTTGATGTTTAGTTCTTTCTTCATCCTTTCCTTTTACTACTTTATTTCCAATCTTGGTTGAAACGACGTCAATCTCTCTTTCTCTCTCTGTGTCACACTCTTTTTGTCTGTCAACATCTCTCTCTCTCTGTTTTACTCTCTCTGTCCCCGTGTCTTTCTGTTGTGGTGAGTACAAAATAACAACCCCCTTTACCCACTCCCTTTATATTCAGGTGAGCTGAGGAAAAAGATGGAAAGAAATTCAGGAGCCTGTGTGAAATTGCTTTTGGACCAATGAAAATCTTCACAGAAATTAGCCATTGAGCCAAGGAGAAAAAAAGAAAAAATCATGAGCCTATGGAAAATTCTTTTTGATATAAAATGAAAAGAAAAATTAAACTAATAAGAGAATGGTGTCTGAAGTCATGTGAAAGGTTTTGTTTCTGTTCACTGCAACGAGCATTGAAGTTCTTACCAGTGTAAAATTATTTGCCAATTATATTACCAGCTTTTAACCAAGCACATGGCATTTCAAAGAATTTCCTTTCAATAATCTAAGTTAAGAATTTCAAACTATCTTTCTTTGTCTACTTGTATGCAGCCATATATCCCTTTAGTGAGCAACTATCTTACCTTTGACTTAAACATTATGTTGTGTCAGATCATTTAATCTGTTATATGAACATTTCCTCTTCATGACAATTCTTTAAATTCTTATGGAATTCTGATTTATTTTCTTGAAACTAGCTACTGACACTATATCAAGCGTGTAAATTCATAAATAAATTCCTTGTTTTGTTAAAATTACCTATGTCTTTTCCCATCATAATCATCCTCCATTAACCTTCTTGGCGTGGGTGAATCAAATGTTCATTTTAACCACAAAGCCCCATACCACTATACTGCTTCTCTCTCGGATGCTCAACACAGTCTGGGTTTAATATGATTTTTGATTAGAATTTTATAATTATTATAATTATTAAAGAAAGGTTTTTAATTTCTAATGATCACTTGCAGTTCAGGGGTGAACTTTTCCTCAAGAGATTTTTAGGTCAAAAAACGTGACTTAACCCCACAACAGCTGCTATATAAGATGACCTCCTCCTTCTCTCCAATGCTCTCTGTCCCACTTTTTCTCTCTCAGTATCTATGATATCAATCTTGACACACATCATAGGTAGGTAGAACAACTGTATCAATATATAGATAATAGTTCTAAAGTTAAAGTTATTTTTTTATTTGCTTTTTTTATTAACTGTGATGACATTTTCATAAGTGGTGCATTCAATATCAAAGAGCCACACCTGACTCATTAGCCATGGTTTGCTCACGTGTTTAATAAGCAGTGATTGAGGACGAAGATCTCTGAAAGGAATGATTGATTGAAATTAATCTGCAAAAAGTGAATATTATTTCCATAGAAGTTTCAAAATTACTTATATTTATCTTTTTAATAATAATTGCTTAAATAATTATGATTTTGTTCAGGTCTGGCCAATCAACCATTTTATGATACCTCAAATCAACCAGGCTTCTTACAATTTGATCAATAAACATGGATCAGCTTTTCCGACTGAAAGGATCTTACAGCAGGTAACAAACTCTTTTATTTATATATTTATATATATATATATACATACATATATATATATATATATATATTGCAAATATTATGTCTCCTTATTTTTAGCGTAATCCATTCATATTCACAGATATTTTTCAGTGTATTACAATCAAATGAGGCAAGAAATGAACTGTAATAGTGAGAATCACTTATTTCCCTAAGTACTTTCCATCTCTTTCTGAGATCATCATCATGAGTTCAACTGGTAAGGCAAAAACAATATGTAGCTATCCATTACTGAATTTTTTTCTTTTTGCATTTAAATGCAACAGCTGACAGTTATATATTAGCATTCATTAGGATGTGAAAAAATTATCCTCTATGGAATGTTTTATCTTATGTTGGAATGTCATTGTCAAGCACACATAAAAGCGTAAAAACCGTTCTTTTTATAAGCATTTTAGAACCATTATTACAGCATTCGTAGTGTTATAAAATAAAATAAGACATATCTCGGCTGATTTGCAGGCAAATAAACTAACATACTCAAGAGCGAGAGCCGGATGTGAATGGGACAAGGCCCCATCACAAAATGACCATTATCATCGTTTGCGCATAGGCCCAACACATGAGTTCCGGTCAAAAAATAAAATAATATTTTAAAGTGTTTCTATTTTTCGACCAATAAAAATGCTTCCCTCCTAATTACACTCGCGTCATTTTCAAGCCTGTTAAGCCATAAAAATGCCATAAAAGGGGTCACACAGGGAAGTACTAGCAGTCTACAGGAGGCCAGAAAAGAGATTTGTCACGGTCAGTCTGGGCAGTCAGCAGGAGAAGCGCCATGCCAACCAGTGAGAACTATGAGAGATCAACCCAGATCAGCAGCCGGCTTATGAACTATACCACAAGGTAGCTGTCCCAAACCGACACATTCCTATTGAAATAAATCACATAAATCTATTTCTGCTATTGTATTTCTTTCTTGCAACCATACGCTTGTCTATAACAATAGCTGATTTTATTCAGTGTTCAGTGAGACAAGCAACCACTTGATGAGAAGTAGTTGACCAATTTGTTAACGTCCACCCTCTATCTCCCTCTTCCTAGCTACAAGAAATGACGCTACAACTACTATGTCTCTCCCTGAAATAAAATGAAGGAAAAAAAATAAATAAAATTTTCTGTAGGCAATCCAAACTGTGATGCTTTCTCTTTTTATCAATGCTAATCACGGAAAAATGGAAAGTGAAATAATATTAAGGCTATTTATACAATGATCAATGAATTGTTGGCTAGACAAAGGCTTTCATGAAGAAAGACAGAGTTATTTACCCTGAATGATGAGCTACAGCCAATATATCTTTGATGGAGGCTGAGTTCAGATCAGCAGCACAAGAATGAAGGTGATCTGGCCAATAAGGTAAAAAGGTCGACTGATTGCAGGATAAAGGGGCTGAGTTGTTGTTCCCTTAGGAATTTGTAGTAAACAGGATAACAAGAGAAATTTGTTGTACATAGCAAGTTTGAGACAGAGTAAATGAATAAGAATCTGAATTGTTTATTAAAAAGGAGGTTTTATGAAGGGCTGTGGTGATAGAAATGTGCTTTTTCTTTTTAATCATTTCACTCCCAGCAAGGTGATAATGCCATTAAGACACAAGTGGTTACTGAGTGTGAAAGAGAATGAGATGACATTAGTGAGGAGATAGGACAATAAAAGAACAGGATTCAGGAAAAAAGATGGTGATTCACATTGCATTTAAATTTTTGAAGATCCTGGGTGGTACAAGATCCTTGTACCATCCAAAAGTTTAAATGCAATGAAAGCAAGAAAATCAACTTTCACATAGCTTTACAGGTGACTTGTTTTTTTTTACCATAGGAACTCATTGGAAATGATTTTTTTTATCATAGGAATGCATTGGAAATAATTTTTTTACTCTAGGAACACATTGTAAATTTTTTTTTTTTACATTAGCAATGTATTGAAAAAAAATTTTTTTTACCTTAGGAATGTAATGAAAATGATTTTTTTTTTTTACCTTAGGAATGTAATGAAAATGATTTTTTTTTTTTTTTTACCTTAGGAATGTAATGAAAATGATTTTTTTTTTTGCCTTAGGAATGTACTGAAAATGTTTTTATCTATTTTATTTTTTTTACCTTAGGAATGTACTGAAAATGATTTTACTACATGTGTAATGACTCAGCCATGTTATTTTTTTTTTTTTTTTTCACAGAAACAGACCATAAGAATTGTGCCGGTGTTGGAAGTGGAATATACCTGGAATAACAAAAAGTCCGATTTCTTCGTCTATGGCCTTGAAAAAAAAGTTCATGCCCCCAAGTATCCGCAGAAATGTTGCTGTGGTTGCGCCATTCTCTGATTGCTTGTGGCGGTGCCTTTTACCATTTATCCATTTATTAACTTTGATTATCGACAACTATTTACTGTCTTCACCCAATCCCTACCATTATTTCCTCAATATCATGTTGGCGATTTCTTGTTCAAAACAACTTTGTAACTCTCTGCCATTTTAAAGATAAAATATCATTTGATAAAACACTAGAGATTTTCATTTTTAGAACATATCAAAGAGGATGTGCCAGTTAAAGGTTAGCACCAAACTTGCACATTCATTAGTTAACATTTTATTTACTCCAATATTTCGATAATTAGCCTCGGTCACTCTGGTGAACAGCTCACAACTAAACATCATCCTTACACTCTCTCTACAATATGTGAGAGACTGCCCAGACTCCTCTGTGGTGAATGTTTATATAACTTTGTGTATTAAAATCTTTTGCCCTGCCTGTAAACTGGGTAGTTGTGTGAGGTCATATGCTTCCCAACTCAGCAACCACAATTAACCCCAGGTCAATACTTTGTTGAACCCAACTTACTTAATGTTGAATATGAATTGTATACAATGTCTATTCCAGTATTACGCAACATAAAATACAGAACCATAAAGGCGTATTGATAGAATCATGGATTAATGTTTACGGATTCAGTGGTGAGCCTATATTTTTGGAGCCCTGAATCTTGAACAGATATGGAGGTTACTTCGCAAACAGCAACAATAGATTCAAGGATCTAGTTGCAAAAAAATAGGCTATGAATAGATTCTGGTATGCTCAACAAGTCCATATAGTGCTGCAAGCCCCTAAAAAAATTTTGAAATTTGATCAATTATGGGGGAATTTTGATGCCATATGAAATGGGTATTCGAACATATTCCAACATAAGGCCAACATTAGCTACTTGAACCCATTGGCTTTTGATTCTATCACTATAATGGCCTCTAACACTTTGGAGATGTAGCCTCATTTGGAGTTTCAGTGCCAAGACAACAAAGCCCTTTTCACAGTCCCTCACTTGAAACACAAAAAAATCAATATAAAATCACAGAACACAGCAAACTGTCATAGGCACTGCCATTGAAAGGCGCAGATGTTCAAGAAACAATCTGATTGACTGGTATGAAGATCAGACAGCTAATCTCGAGGCTTCATTATTCGACTTTTCAGCTGATAGATCGGTCCTGTCATCTCCTAAGGGTTAAAAGCAAACAGATAAAAAAAATGTTTTCTTGAAAAAAAATTCATTCATTAAAAAAAAAGTTGATCTTCCTCTCTGGGATTAGGAACCTTGAAGCTTAAGCTTCATTAGTTTCACATTAAATCCACCACTGTAAGGACTAGCAATAATTATCACTTCTTTCAAAGACAACCAAAGTAATGCTATAAATCCAAAAGTATTCTTATTTTTGATTAATTAATTAATATGTTATTATTATATGATAATAAAACCTTGTCTTTGAAAGATATTGATTAAAAACACATCAGATGAGAATGCTAGTTGGAAAGAGCCCTTTTGTAATAACAGCTCATATAAAAAAAAAAAAATAATTTCTGTTTCATAAGGTTTTATTGTATTATTTTTCTGTATTTTCCATTTTTATTAAAACAAAAAAAATATATTTTGGATAAACATTGTGAATGTTATTGGTTGTTTCTTTTCAAATTGAAAATAAAAGGGATGGGATTTTTTTTTTTTTTTTTTTTTTTTTTAAACCTTTCATAAATTTCATAGTACTACAGAAAAAAAAAATTGTCTTTCGAATTTCTTATGAAGGATTTGATACAACTGTTAAGATGGTCCTTGCTTGCTTCCTGTTTTTGGTTAGTAAAGTATAACATATATTCATCATCATATATATATATATATATATATATATATATATATATATATATATAATAAAAGGCTTAAACACTAATATTCCATGGTCATAATTTATTCCATTGGAATCGTAAATACGATCCAAATCATCAGACATACAAATTCAAAAAGAAAACAGAAAAAACCCACTCCGGAAGTAAAAACAGAATTTAGAGAAAGTGTAAGTATGAGTAGACATTGAGTTCTACCTGGATTCTTCCTCTTGGAATTTTTTTCTGAAAATATACATGTATAGGTATTTATATATTTTGCATATGTATGTATATTTTCCACTAATATTATCTATCTTTCTTTCTATCTATCTATCTATATATATATATATATATATATATATATATATAAATAAATAATGTAAAATGTATGCCAAAATAGAAAAAGTTTTGTGTCAAATTTCATCCTTTAGAACTTCATCGGGCTGAATTTGTTATGTTGCTACAACTACACATGTGCACGAAAAAGGTATGCTGGGAATTTTTTTATTTTTCTAGCCGATTTCATTTAGGTTCTTTTTCTTTTCCTCACTCTTGTCTGTAGATATCCCACACTGATAACAGAAGTTCTACCAGGAATGGTGAAATGTTGTAAGAGCCAGGATGAAAATTTACTGTAGATGACCTTACGATCAGGGTACTCTCAACACTTTTTTGTCATAGTGAATTGATTTCTCCTTTGATCAGAGTAGCATTTTTCAAAATTGTGGTCAGTCTCAATGGCAGGGGCAAGCGAAAAAATTAAAAATTTCCAGCAACACTAACATAACAAATTTAGTTCAAGGAAGTTCATACATTTTCCTAAATATTGTTTTTTATATATATATATACACACACACACATACAAGTATATGATTGGTGTATACGAAATAAATTCAACATCATCACTTGATAAGAAACCTGAGGTGTTGAAACAAAATGGCTATTTTTGTAGTGATTTTATAACATATTTATGTTATAATTTTTAAATAATTATATATATATGTGAAAAGTGTATGTATATAAATAAATAAAAATATATATATATATATATAATTATTTATGTGCAGTACTTATTAGAAAGCGCTAAATATCAGAGATAGAGCTAACATATTTTTATATGTTTATATATGTAGGAATCCTGACGGACAACCAAGTATGTATATGTGTCTGCATACTCCATTAGACGTATGAACATACATCAATGTTTGCAAGTACGATGACATTTCCCCCACCACTTCCATAATAACACCAATACACGCAATCTACATAAACCCCAAATTTTTAAAAATTAATCAGTTTGTCTGACGATCTCTAAAGCGTGAAACCCAGGGTCACAAACTCACATCTATCCAACCAAATATATATATATATATATATATATATATATAATTTTAAAGGAACGAAAGAAGCCACAAACGTTTTTGGTTATAATGTGGATTTTTAAAATATATACAGAAAACTCTTTGTATCACAACACATCTACAAATGTAATCAAGGTAAATTTTAAATTATGCCAATATATGAAGCAGACTTTTTCTTACTTGCAAATACAAGAAAAAAAATTTCATATACAAATTTAAACCAGTGCTAAACAGATCATAACCCCACACACATAAACACAAAGCATGTATACATAATTGCCAAATACACTCGTCTGACCACACACACATACATGTATCTATGGAGAATGAATGAATATATATACATACATACATACATACATATATATACAGTGCTGTTCGATAAAAGGGACTCACCAGATTTTTTTTACTAAAAATATTTTTTGTCTATTGTTTTTGAGGTTAAAATAATTTTTAATCTTACTAATATAAAGACCCCTTCCCGACCACCTAGTAAAAAAGTTTATTCACCCTAAGGTATTCTATTGATAATTATAAATTTGGATATAAATGAGATTCAGGAAAACACTCTGCAAAAAAAAGTGACTCAGATATTGCATTCTAATGATTCTGGTAAGTTTAAAGAGCTTTTGACAAAATATTGAAAACTATTTTACAATACACTCAGAACAATATTCCAGAGAATTCTAGAACAGCTTAAATTAAATCTAGAGTATTCCAGAAAGCCTCATACAGTGTAAAAACAGCTTAAAATAGCCACTCAAGTCACTAACCAGATGAAAGGGTACAAACACACATCAGAACCACTTAAGGCATCTATTATTGCCTTCTTAAAAGCAGGCAAGTCTACGAGAGAAATTAAAGAAATTGCTATAACCTCACAATCAACTGTCTCTCGAGTGCTTAGGGCACATAATGTTGCCACTCCTGCTCCAAGGAAGAAAACAACGGGACGAAAGGAAAAGATTGATGATAGAACTGGCAGGGTAATCAGAAGAGAAATTGTGAAGAATAGGACTCTTTTATCAGGCCAACACCGCGGTTCCCCAGCCAATCATCGTTCTTCGCTGTTATTCTCGGTTACACAGGCAAATTGCCTCCTCCAGTTCGATCAATCAGCACACGACTTGCTATTGGTGGAAGCATGCCAGACTGTACAAAAAACAGAAATTTAAGATTGTGCGTTTTTGTAATAATATAATTTTAAAATTCAACCTCAGCGTTGCGACCGCACGCTCCAAAAAATTTCTTGCAGTTGGCAGTAGCACATTTCTAAAAACATTTTTCGGATTATATCTATATTTTTGTTGTCCTGTTATTAGCGAGTAGTAAAAAACAAAAACAAATCTATTTCCATACCTGAAGATGTCTGTATGAACAGACGAAAGCTTGTAAAAAAACTAAAAAAAAGACCTTATGCAACTGGAATTTATAAACAGGGATCATAACATTCATATACAGGTTCGGGGTTAATGTACTTCATTAAAATTGTTTGCGAAGATGTATTCTCGCCATTTAAATCATTAACTTCTATATCTGTTTTTTGTATGAATGATTCATGTAATATATATATATATATTCTTTTTGACATTTTCATTAGAATTTCAATGTTATATGATTGGTTAAATAATTCTTTTCAAAAACGTATATAAAATCAAAAAGATGTCGCCTCTGTATGAATGATTCATGTAATATATATATATAGAGAGAGAGAGAGAGAGCAATTTCTAAAGAAATAATGATTTTTTATTTATTAATCCGACATATTTTTATTTATCATTTTAACCATTATTTTTAGTGGATGCCCATAT